TCATTTCCCCACATAGGTTTTAGAAACTTTGTATGTAGGAACATCATAGCGCATGACATTGAGTTAATGAAAATATGGATTTCTAATAAACACTTGAGGATAGGGTTTGTTTATTTCTAAACATAAGTTTAAGAATCTCTAAATATTTTAAATTCTCAAGTTTATAAATGTGTTAATGAAAGAAAGGCCAAACTAATGTGTTACTGTAATGATAAAATTAACTCATTTATTTTAAATACTACCAAATGAAGAGATCAAATCAAGTATTGATTCTGATTATGTGCATGCATGTGTACACATACATGTTTCTCTTTTTAGCAATGTCTCAGGTAGTGAGTACATAAGGAAGTGATGTTCAATAAGAACATCATGTCCTCTCCATGGGGAGCAGAAAGGGTATGGGGTGGAGGTGTTCGGGGGAGGGGGTGAGGGAACTGGGATTGACATGTAAAACAAGCTTGTTTCAAATTTAAATTTTAAAAATTATCAAAAAAAAACCTATCTTGTCTTACTACTAATAATAATGATCCCACTTATTTTCTGTCAACAGTGCTAACATTATGAGACAGTACCAGGTGTGCCCCTTGAGATGGTACCATCTGTGAAGTATTCTTTCCAGACAATCCCAAATCTAATCAGACCATTAGATATTGCCAATCCGTAGGAAACACAGGGGCCAAGAGAATGTTAAATGATTGCATTCCATTCTAGTCAGCAACTGCTATAGGAATACATAAATGGTCCTGTTTTTTGTTTTGTTTTGTTTTGTTTTTAATAAAGTCCAACTTAGAACAGAACGTATAGTAGAACTGATCTGAGTGATGGTCAAACTAATGTTAATATGTATCCTCATTTGGATCCTACCTGAATTAAACAAAACTATAAAAGTAACACTGAAGATGAGGGGGAAAGGGAATTTTCTTATACTTGGAAGACAATTGGAAGTTAAAACCCCAAACTGAGATTTTATATTAAGCAATTCTAGTTAACTATTTTTAATAGTGAATTTGCAGAAATTATGTATGGAATAATTTGTTATTGGGATAAATAATGATCAACAGACCCTCACATGCTTTTTGATACAGATGACAATAGGAATCATATTTCTTGAGACCTCTTTCAAGCATTCCATACAACTCTAAGCAATACTGAAACTCAGGCAGGTATGGTGGCACAAGCCTGTAATCCCAACATTTAGATGGAGGCAGGATTATTGTGTCAAGATCCTCTTTGGCTAAATAGCAGCTAAGGCTACATGAGATCTGATCCAAAAAGTGATACTGAAACTATCACAAGATGACAGTTGACTTGTGTTTTGATGTTTGTGCCCCATTTTCTGTTGTAGCAAAGAGTTAGAAACAACCTTACCTGGAACAGAGGAATGCTATATATTCTCACAGTAAGAATTCCCAGCTCTAGATTTGCCGCTTGCTGGCAATGCCTGTTTTCTCATGTTACAGAAATGAGAATTAGAACCTGTGTCAGTGGTCAGTCATAAGACTGCTTTGAGTACTGAATAAGTACAGTAAAGAAATCCTCATCAACTTAGATAGTTCTACATTATTCTTAAAGATCATTACATGTTTATGGCTTTGGACCTTCCCACTAGCCTTCTCCGAAGTGTAGTTTCCCTCTGAATCCTAAATGGAGCTGTGAACCATTTCTAGCCAAACAGATGTTAGACAGTTCTTGCATGCTCGGGTAACTCTTGATCGTCTCTTCAGGTGGTGTGTGTGTGTGTGTGTGTGTGTGTGTGTGTGTGTGTGTGTGTGTGTGTGTTTTTCAGTTGGGCCTGCTGTTTGGTGAGCACCATGAATCTGTTCTCCCCTTCCTGTCTCATGCTGGGTTTCTTTTTAAAGCTCTGTAGAAAATAAATGGCATTGATTAATCTAGTACCTTCAGGGCAGTTTTTTCTAGATAAGGAAGGAAGTCAACACATTTTTAAAAATCTCACAAAATTGGATGACAAAATATCATTTGTTTCTTTAGGACATAATTATAAGAAGTGTTATGAAATTCAGAGTAAATATTTGCGCCAGAGTAAGGGTAAAAGAGATGACATTTGACAAGTATTCCCTATCACTACTCTGTCACTCTCAGGATAGTCACTAAGAGAACACATGGACTGGTTTGGGAAACTTTACCAGAAAAAGTTTGCTTCAAACCAAAGAAGTGACTAGAATAAGAGAGTTTTGTCCATAGTTGCTTTTTTCCCCAGTTACTAAACCTGTGCTACTGCCACTGGTTTCTGAAAGTCTCATTACATTTCTTTACCCATACTTGTATTAAAATTCCATTTTATAGGATATAGTAATATTTGTATCTTAAGGAAAGTGTAATCAGATGTGGTAGAGAAGTCCTCTAATCCTATTAAACCTTAACTTAACCAGAAGCAGGAGACTCTTGAGTTTGAAGCCTGCTCGGAATGATTAGTGAACTCTAGAACAACTGAGACCCTGTTGTTACATACATACATAACTTACTTACATGCATGCATACATACCACCACCTCATTTCTGTGTGACTTGGGCAAATCTGTTCTCGCAGAGTCTCAGATGGGCAGTGAAAACATGAAGTGTTCCTTCTACCTGCTTTCAGCAAAGTTCTGCTTTTATAACGGCCAAAGCTATGATGCTGTCTAGGTAGAAAAGGTTTCAGTGCCCTCTGCTGGTCCTAAGAACATACTTGTCCATCAGTATAGTATCCACACTAACTAGGATACCTGTTCCCTCCTCACAATTGAGCACAGCATGAAATCACCAAGAAAGAAGGTGTATTTCGTGCTCTAAAGAGGTAATATTTTAAGTGCTTGAGAATTAATGATTTCATATACATAGCTTAAGCAGATGCTATTATCTTATGATTCCCTTCATTCTGTTGTAATTCTCACCTAGAAAACAGACTGTGGCTCTGACTCTTTGGGCCACTATCATTCAGTTTTACACCATTTTTCTGCCTTTGAATGTATGGTCTCATTTTGTTGAAAAAAAATTTAGAAAAGTTTTACATATTTATCTAGTTTATATGTAAACAGGAAAGTTATTTCAGTGGATATGTGACCAGGAAAAGAAATATGTAGCATAACTAAGAATATTGCTTAAAAAGAAGGGCCAGGCTTCATTAAACTGTCAGACTCATGGAGAATCTCCTAAACCTACTCAGTTTTCTGAACTCATCTATATTCATATTATGTCAACACTATAGACTATATAGTGCTTCTGTAGTTTACAATGTGCTGCATTTGTAAGAAATAGTTCTACCTTGGGTTATACTCAAGGGAAAGACAACTTAGTATTATGTTTTGAGAGAGGGAGTATGAATCAGGGTATTTCTACATAGTATCTAGCCATGGCTGTCCTGGAGCTCACTCTGTGGACCAAGATGGCTTTGACCTCACAGAGATCTGCCTACCTCTGCCTCCTAAGTGCTAGAATTAAAGGTGTGCACAACTACACCCAACTCAAAATTATGTTTTTTCTTATTTGAATTTTATGCTCCAACAATCTCTTTAAGACATATATGCATGTTTTCTCTCATGTAAAATACAAGAAGCTCATAATATATATCAGAAGGAGAGTTATTTGGTGAGGAAGAGAATGGGGAATAATGGGTAAGTATGAGCAAACTACAGTGGTATGAAAATGTCAAAGTAAAGTCTCATTCAGAATAGGCCTTTGCACTGTTTGAAGTGAAAATCTAAAATGCAGAGGGGATAATGTATAATAAGCTCACTGGATGTCTCTCCAGAGTCTATAAGAAAACACATGGTTCATTGTAGTTTCTGCTAACACAACAAGCAGAACCACACACGTTTTGTCCATGTTTTCCCATGGAAGAAAGCATCTGAAGTGAGCAAATGAGGCACCATGAAAACCAAACTTGACTTTCCCCTTGTTCTGCATCATGGTCAGCATCTATTTATAACTACCTTATAGAAGGAACTGTATTTAGAGCTAATCACCTCCATAGCAGTGCACAGCCCTGTCTTGAAAGGAACTTGCATCATATATGACACATTGATTCTTGCAGGCAAAATCACAGTCACCCTGCTTGTAAGTGTGTAAGACTAAATTTCATGATACACCTGTTGCTTGCTCTAGTTTAGGGTTGGTATGCCCTAGATCAAGAGGAAAATTACACCAAGTATAGCATTCTACTGGTATCTTAGTTATGTTACACAGCCCTAAAAGTGACATGTATATACCCTTGACAGTAATGATCTTTGGTAATGAACATTTCAGAAGAGAATTCACCTTATTACATTGCTTTAAAAAAAAAAAAAAAAAAAAAAAAAAAAAAAAAAAACAGAAGCCAGTAACAGTGGTAGGCACTTCTGTAACCTCAGCACTCATAAGGATAAGGTAAGAAGATTAAGAGTTCTGAGACAAACTAGGCTGGATAATAAGACCAGCCCAAAATAATTCATTAAGTACCATTCTTGGGCCAGTGGGATGGTTCAGTAGATAAAGATATGTGCCAGTAAGCCTTGAAATTTGAATTTGACCCTCAGAATCCACATGGTAGAAAGAGAGAACCTAGTCTACAGCTTGTCTTCCAATTTCTGAACACAGGCCATAACATACATACACATACGCATACCAAATAAATGTAAAAAAATCATAAAGTAAGAGAAATTTTAGATTACTAAAGTTTTATGTTTAGGTTGTGTTGGGTTTTAGTATGCATCCCAGTTATAACTGCACAGTACCCACCCTGTACACAACAGAGTAGTATCTACTTTTTGTATAGTCTATAATTCAAAGAATTACATTAATTCTATTATTAAAAGTATAGCGACTGTTTAAAAATTGTCATTTAGGTAGGTAAAGTAAAAGATTTTAAAGGATTTCATAGAGACCCTACAGCTGTCAGTTGAACATGAATGCAGTGTTGATTACTAAGTTTTTATCACCTCTATAATTAAGTATAGCACCTGTGACCTGAGAACTGTATAATCTTTTTGCCTACACTGTGCTGATAGATATCACATGTTCTCACAGAAACTTGCCCCTGGAGTCAGCCAGTTTGCCTACACCTGTGTACAGGACCACCCCATTTGGACAAATCAGCAGTTTTGGGAGACAACTTTTTACAATGCAGTACAGGAGCAGGTTCGCTCCCTGTATCTCTCAGCAAAGGAAGACAATCATGCACCACATATGAAGCAGAAGGTAAGAGAAGGAAGGTACTTGTGTGTGGTTGGGATTGACTTTAAGGAATGCTCAGGTAGATAGATGTTCCTAGGGCAAAGGTTCCTGAGTGTTAGGGAGTCCTGTGGTGAGCGTCTTTCTTCCTTTGATTCTGGCATTGTACTTTTCAATAATGGTCTCATAGTATAGTTTTTTAGCACTAGAATTGTGTTGTTCTATTTTGATGAGAATCCCTTGAAAACAATTGGAGAAAAATGAATAAAAGGAACAAACCTAAAATGGACGCAGGTATAAATCTCTAACTGCTTACTTCCTTGAAGAAATTCCAAGTTTAGCTCAGTGATAGAATGTTTTTACCTAGCATGCTCAAGGCCTTGAGTTCAGGTACTAGCATTAGAAGAAGAAAGAAAAAAGAAAAGAAGAGAAAAGAAAAAAGAAATTCACTGACTATAAAGAAAAATGTAAATTCTGTAGTCCTGTTCAAAAATATGTCAGCAATAGCCTAGGTCTTCCTTTGTCCTGTATGTGTGTGTATATATATGTATATTAGCAATATTTGCTATATATACATGTATTTAAATATCAGGAAAATTAAAATACTCCTATTTTTAAACGTAATTTACTAGCTCTCTGTTCTTGTACTGACTAATCACATTACCCCCATACTTCCTTATTGGCAAAATATGTAGCTGTCACTACTGTAAGATTTTCATGTCTGGCTGGGCGATGGTGTCATACACCTTTATCCCCAGTACTCAGAGAGGCAGAGGCAGAGGCAGGTGGGTTTCTGTGAGTTTGATGCCACCCTGGTCTATAGAGTGAGTTCCAGGACAGTTGGGTCTACACAGAGAAACCCTGTCTCAAAAGAAGAAGAAGAAGAAGAAGAAGATTTTCATGTCTGATATGTATTAAAGTTTATTAAGAGTTCTTGGCACACACTAAGTAGTAAGTTTTAGAAATCATAATTCTCATGAACTGAACTTAACACAGCCTAAAAGACTCAATGCTGATTCACTTAAGAGTGATTTTAAATCAACCATTTTAAACTGCAGATTTTGGGATATATATCACTGCAGATTCTGTCCATCATCTTCTACTTAACTTATGTCTAGATAGGATGGATTATCCTAGGCATCTGAGAATGTGCTTTATCACCTTAAGCATATTATCAGTTTATTATTAAGTAGAAGAATAGAAACTTAATTTAAAAAGAACTGACATGTAATTGTTCAAATGTGAATTGTTTGCTTATTTTAATTAATATTCAGAATTTTTTTTGTTATTGTTGTTGAAACACTAAATGCACCACTTAAGGTATAACTTGTAGCAGATGCAGAGACTGTTTTCCTGGGGCCACACCCAAGAATAATCAGACTGTTAGGATGCCTTGGTAACTTTTAAGCAGCTGTGATTTGCTGACATTGATATTTCTAGAAAGCATTCATACAGCAAATTGTCACAGCTGCTGTGTCCTTCCTTCTGAAAAAGAGTCCTATCTCTGCTCTCTAGATTAGATACAATCCATGTTTTAGCTCTCCATGGCTAGATAAAATACTATGCAGATGTGAATTGCTATTACCAGCTATCTCTTCAGCTTTCTAGGAAACCCATCATTAAAACCCCACTATCACATTACAAGGAGATCTAGCTACACTTTTTGTGACCTTGGTCATTCCTTCCTTTCAAAGAGCAGAAAAGAAAATAATAGTTTTAGCAGATACTGCTGAAGGGCGTCCATGGGAAATCTATGTTAATTTTTGTAAATAGTAGCTTCAAAGAGGTAAAGCCACAGAGTGAAGTGTAAACAAGTGAGATGTTAGAGTGAGAAACATGCATCTGTGTTTTGCTGCTGCTTCTTTGAGATTGCCATGTGATGCCAACAAAGGCATGCAGGCCAGGGGTAAGACTGTTACTGAGTTTCACTCTGCTGAAACATGTATTTAATAAATGCTTTCCAACATTATGACGTACACCAGTAATCCCAGCACTTGAGAGGTGAGTTCAGTCATTTCAGCTATACAGCAAATTCAAGATGAGATCCTTTCTCAAAATTAAAAAGGAAATCCATTTTTCTGATCTTTAAATATTTTCTTGATATTTTCCTTAAAAATAGTATATACTGATTAAAATTATACTAAAAGATACAGAATCACCCAAGAGAAGACCTTCCATGTCTGTGGGGCTCGCTTGCAGTGACTTGGCTTGTTTTGCTTTTTCTTCTATGTTAAGCTTCCCAATGGCCGGTGTCAGGAGAAGACAGCAATGGACTTGGCAGCTGAGCAGCTTCGCCTTTGGCCCTCTCTGAGCAAGTCAACTCAGCAGGAGCTGGTTCAACATGAGGAAAGCACTGTCTTCAGTCAGGCCATTCACTTCGCAAACCTGATGGTTAACCTGCTAGTTCCACTAGACACAAGTAAAAACAAGCTCCTTCGAGCATCAGCCCCAGGAGACTGGGAAAGTGGGAGCAACAGCATTGTCACAAACAGGTACTAAGATGGAGCCCACAGTCCCTCCTCTTCTCAGAGCTAATCATATCTCAGCAGAAACAGCAAATATTACTGTATATATTTCAGAACTGGCCTTTTTTCCCATCTGTAGCTTGCTCAGTCCTGTTAAAAACAAAATTTTCCTTCATCCTACTTAATCTCTCCCTCCCTCCTCCTTCTCTCTCTCTTTCTCTCTCTCTCTCTCTCTCTCTCTCTCTCTCTCTCTCTCTCTCACACACACACACACACACTTCTGTCTAATCTGTAGTGTTCTAAAAAATGACATATGAGCAACTTCTTGTCCCTCTTGTTTCTCAGTTTATCCATAGAATTTGTCTAATTATGGTATAGGAATTGTTTTTCACTGCTTTAACCGAAATACTGGGAGAAATAAGAGAAAAATTGCTTATTTTTGAGGTTTTTGGACAATTAAATCCATTATTGCCTGGCCTATGACCTTGGACAGAGCATTATGGTAGCAAGAGTTTGTGTCAAAGAAACTTCTCCACCTGATTTCATACAAGAAGCAGAGAGAAGGGATTGCAGGAAGGGACCAAAGCAAGAACTGCCTCAGTGATACATTCCCACTCCCAATGATTTACTTCTCCCCACCTCCTACTCTTCCTAGTAGAACCATCATATTATAAATAGTTCAGGGTCATTCAGATCTAATCACTTCTCAAAAGCCACCAGCTGGCAAGCAAGCCCCAATACATGAGCCTGTAGGCCCATTTCATATTCAAGCCATAACATAATATCCTCAACCTTGCCTTCCTCTCTATTCTCTAGTGACTTCCCATGTCCCAAGAATAAAGCCCAAAGTCTTTGCTATGACCTTCAAGGCCTAATAAGAACTGTACATTAGCAGGCTATGACTCTAATCTTACTTCCTGTTGTTCTTTTTGTCAACTAGCCTGGCCTTTCTACTAATACTAGTCCCCAGACACTCCAAGGATGATGCTGCCTTCTTATTATGCCATCAGTCTACAATACCTTGTCTACAGTAGTCCCTAGATCTCTCCCTTGCTGTAGATTTTTGATCAAGTGCTACCCATCAAAAGGCTTTGTTCTCCTTTAGGTGTCCGAATTGTTTGTTACTATTTTTTACTCTGATTAGTTGTTTTCCATAACTTTTCCCCCCTTTTTATTTTCTCTTTTATTTTTGGTTTATGGGGGTGTGGTATTGAATTTGGGATTTTTTGACACCAGCTCTCACTAGGTTGGCCTCAAGCTTGTAATAATCCTATCAGCCTTCCATAGTATTCCACCACATTACAGTCTGACATGTTTTCATGTTTGCATATTGTCTGTGTCCTTTCTTTGTTGTATTCATTGTTTAGTTCTCTACATCTTTGCAGATAGTAGGTGCTACGTAATAAAGTTTAACTGAACAGATGATTAAGTGAATAAATAAATGAATTCACCACTAAGCAACAGTTTTAGCTCAGTGCCCTGCTGCAACACCCTGCTAGTTGCAGTTCCCATAAACTTTTGTCAGACTCCTGTTTTTCTTTTTATTGTCAGCCCTCTGCTTCATTTCATTTCAAATGTGTTGCCTTGTCTTGCATGAGTTTACCACCTACAGAGGAATGTGCCTTTACAATGGCTCTAAGGGTTGTGATTTACATGCAGGGGTGCAGGTGCAGGGAAGCTGGAAGAGAAACTCTAGCAAGAGAAAGGGTCATAACAGTCACCTTCTTCCATGTGAAATAACAAGTAGGTTTCTCAAAAGGAACATGTTCCACAGTCACTAGCATCAGACATTCCTCTTGCCTTTCTAATGATTAACTTGGACAAGTTTTGTTTTTTTGTTTTGTTTTGTTTTGTTTTTTTGTTTTTGTTTTTTAGAAGGTTCTGATAGTAGATAATAAATAGCGTGGCATTCCTTTACTTTATTTTCTGTGATATTTAAGTTCCTTTTTGGAGAGTACTAGCAGGTATTGCTTACAAAAATAGATCTTAGTCCAATAGATGTTGTTTAAACATAGGCACATAGAAGATAACATTTCACACCTGCCAGTTACAGAAAGAAACCACAGTTGAGTGTGTCCCTCCTCTTTTATCAAGCTTCAGTTCCTCTGTGGAGAGATTATGATGTTGTCTTTATTTTATTTTATTTTTAGTTTGAAGCCTGGCCTTGATTTCTTTCCTTGGCTCTCTTAGCATTGCAGGAAGTGTAGCTGAGAGCTATGATACAGAGAGTGGGTTTGAAGATTCAGAAAATAATGATGTTGCCAACTCCGTTGTAAGGTTCATTGCCCGATTTATTGACAAGGTTTGTACAGAGAGTGGAGTGACTCAGGACCACATCAGGAGTCTCCACTGCATGATACCAGGTAATCAATCTTTGTTCAGGTAGTTAAGCCCTAGCACAATGCCTGTGATGATGCTTGCTTTTCTCTGATTTGCTCTTTATTTCTTTTATTGTTGTTTTGTTTTCTAAAACAAGGTCTTGTAGAACACAGGCTAACCTCACATTCGAAATGTATCCAGGCTGGCTTTGAGTCTGGACTTGATTTCCTGATCCCTAGCCTGTGCTTCCCAATTTCTGGGATTATAGGCGTGTGCCACCATGACACGTTCTAAAGTTTTATTACACTGTGGCAAATACATAGTATAAAGGTTGCATTAATTATATTCACAGTGTTCTATAAATCACCATTATTTCCTAAACTTTTCAATCACTCAAAAACAGATAATCAGTAATTAATATTAGGTAATAAATTTTATTTCTTCAGTCCCTATCTGGAAATGCCTAACCTGCTTTCTGTTTCCATGAACTTTTCAGTTCTAGCAATTTTACATATGTAGAATCATATAATGTTTCAAAGTTGTGTGTAACTTTTTTTAGTTAGCATAATGTTTACAGGGTTCATCCATGTGTTATTTCACTCATTTTTTATGGTTGAATACTATTCCATTCTATGGATATAACTTATTTGTTCCGCCATTCATTTGTCAATGGAGATGGGTTTTTCCACTTTTGGAGATTGTGAATGATGGTCCTATGAATATTTGCCTACAGGTATCTGTTTGAGTTCTTGTTTTCAATTCTTTAGCGGTATATACCTAGGAATAGAATTTTATGGATTACATGATTATAGTTTAACATTTGGAGGACCTATCAAACTTTAATTGGTTTTTCATTCTAAAATATCTGGAATGTGCTTTTGTTCTCCCTGGTTTATTTTCATCTTAGGAATTGTAGCTATGCACATTGAGACTCTAGAGGCAGTACATCGAGAGAGTAGAAGACTTCCACCTATCCAGAAGGTAATTACTCTATACTGTGTGCTTTCAAGGTACAACAGGCCCTTCCAACACACAGCTATTTACAGACAGTTTTAATGGTGCATGAAAAGTTCTGGGGAGTATCCCATACAGAATTTTGTAAACTGTTGAAATCCAAATGCTGCCTTTTTTGTGATTCAACAAAACAACAATAATAATCTCTTGTTAACTTTTATATGGAGGTCATAAGTTATGTATAATTCTAATGCCCAAGCCCAGGGTTTATATACCTGCCTCCCACTACCACCACCACCACCAAAAGAAAAGATTTTAAACGTAAGAGTGCTGGGTTCTTGAATCTGACTGTCCACAAGAAACATCAGGGAAATTGATTAAGGATTTGGAGTTCCTGGTCTCCTGGATTAGAAAACCCTGGGACCTAGAAATCTATATTTGAAGAAGCCACTCAGATAGTTATTTTGCTACTGGCCTCACGCTTATTGCTGACTAGAATTTGGGCCCTTAGCTCTCTGACAGAACTATTAAAAATATTCCCATAGGAGTGATCAGAAGCCACACAGTTGTGTGATGCCTAAGATAAAATAGTCAATACACTTTGATTTCTGCATTTAGTTCTAAGATTCCTAGAACCTTTAAAAAAAAAAAAAAAAAAAAGAATAATGCTGATTTCAGTCATTTTTTGGTTTTGGGAGTTTTTTGTGGTTTGTTTTTTGGTTTGCTGTTTTTGTTTTGTTTTGAGACAGGATCCCATTATGTAGCTCTAAGACTGTCCTGGAACTCACTATATAGACCAAGCTAGTCTCAGACTCACTCACAAAGATCTACCTGCCTCAGCCTCCCCAGTGCTTGGATTAAATGCATGTGCCACTATGCCTTACTTACTTAGGTAGTTTTTATTTCTGATTAAAACACAGATGTTCAAGGGGAATGATTGTTTTCCTTGCCCATATCTCCCAAGAGGATTCTTATCATGTTGTTCCTTTTATACTGGACACTAAGCTAAATGTCTCATTGTGTAAAGTTCATTACTTAGCCAAAAGTACATCTCTTTAAAAAAAAAAAAAAAAAAAAAAAAAATCTATGGCCAGCCATGGCGGTGCATGCCTTTAGTCCTAGCACTAAGGAAACAGGGGCAGATGAATCTCTGTGTGAGTTCAGTACCAGCCTGGTCTACATAGTGAATGCCAAGCCAGGCAGGACAAACAACAAAAGCTAACTGTGGAACCAGGAGTGGCAGCAGTCAACTGTAACCTCAGTATTTAGGAAGTGGATGCAATAAAATGAGGAATTCTTATTTAAAAAAAAAAAACAAAACAATAAAATCTCATGATGGGCACGCCTTTAATCTCTGGAGAAACCCTGTCCAAAAAACAGGTGAATCTCTGTAAGTTTGAGGCCAGCCTACTCTTTAGAGTGAGTTTCAGGACAGCCAAGGCTGTTTCACAGAGAAACAAAAAACAGACAGACAAACAAAAGATAAATCCTCTTAAGTATTTGTTTCTTCAGTTTACAGTATAGTATTATTTTGTGTAAAGTTTAAGTGTAAAAGAAATGTGCAATGTATTATCTTCCCTTCTCACCTTTCTCTCCGCCATAGCCATCATAGCATCACCTTTATAAGTTATTCATATTCTTAATGCTTTTTCTTTTACATTTTAGTTTATAAAAAGTTGTACAATGATAGTTTGAATAGCCATTGCAAACTTTCAAGTTATTTCCCTATGTCTTTACTGTTAAAAAGCAATGCTGCAAAGAACGTTTTTATACTTAGATATAGAAACATCATGTCTGCTCCCTCACAAATTAAGCTTGGGGTTGGCTCAGGGCTTCCAGATTATACATGAGAAGGTAACCTGAGAGTAAATGATGGAAACCCCACAAGAGTTGCTTTAAAACAGTTACCTATTTTTAGCCCAAGATTCTTCGACCAACTCTGCTGCCAGGAGAAGAAATTGTATGTGAAGGTCTCCGAGTCCTACTGGATCCTGATGGTCGAGAAGAAGCCACTGGAGGTCTCCTTGGAGGTCCTCAGCTCCTGCCTGCAGAAGGGGCCTTGTTTCTTACAACTTACAGAATTCTCTTCAGAGGGACACCACATGACCAGCTAGGTATGACCCAGCACATGCCATCAGGCAGGGATCCCTATATGACACTTGAGATTTTATTCAGTCCATTCACAATGATTTATGTATCATTTCAAACACAGAAAAGGAAAAAGGTAGGCTTAGTGTTGAAATCTCATTTTGTTACTCTTTTCTTTGCAATTTTAATGTTAACTGTAGGTTTTAGAAAAATGTTTTTGACAGAGAAAACCTTTTTTCTATTTCTTTTAAAATTTTTAATTTACAAACACATAGACACAGGTGGGGGGGGTTCCACAGATTATATAGTCATAAGTTGTTTAATACATATTAGAACTTAAACTGAATGTATATACCAGTTTTACTTAGCCTCTGGATATGAATTTAATAAATGGATAGTCCAGATTTTTCAGGGTGAAGATTGACAAATCCAGAGAATGAGGATGGTGAACAAATATATAAGCCTCTAAATCCGATAATCCTAGTCCATGTCTTCCCTGCTCTGGCTCACTGGCTATGAGGCCTTCATTGCTATTCCTATCATGTTATCTATCACAGTGCCTAAAATGCCTTCCCTCTTCCCTCTGCAAATTCAGACCCTATCCTCTCTTCAGAGTTTGTCTTCCCTCCCACATCTTGCAGAAATTATTCTCTATCCATCCAGCATATAGAGATTGTCTTCTTTTCTGAAGCACTCAAATCCTTGAGTTAACAGTTCCCTTGAAATGAAGAGTTGTTACTCACATGTGACTGTAGTGTTCATGTGACATAACCCCAATGGAGACCTGGGAACTGCCCAAGGAAGGCCATGATACTTCTTTTTCTAAATGTATCTTCATCCCCACTGGTAGTTTGGATTTTCACATTCTTATTTTATAAAATGTTTAAATTCCTAAAACTCTTGGACACACATCTAGTCTCATCTTCCAAAGGCTTTCTGGAAGAAACATTGAACTATACTGAATGAAAAAAAAAAAAAAAAGAAAGAAAAAAGAAAAGGATATGTCTGCTCCTAGGTATGGTGGAGGAGAAAGTTTATTGTAGTCATATGGGAGAGCATAGTCAGAGGTAGGGACATCTGGGAGAGTTCAAGGTGGACATACCAGATTGAGCCAGACCATATGGGGAAAGGGAAAAAGAGGGAACCAGGTGAAGCAGCCAGGAGGCCAAAAGTATAAAAGGGATGGGTTACCAAAATGTCTGGATTATGTAGGAAAGAGCAGCCCAGGCCCCAGGACTAGAGAGTTCAGGGTAGGGAGCAAAGTATACAAGCCAGGAGGACCCTATAATAGTTAGGGACTTGGGGGTGCTGGGAGAAACAGGCATCCCATTTTGATATGTTAAATAGGCACTTAAGCTGTTTGTCCTGGGTTTGAAATTTAGCAAATACCTTTTACTATATGTGGAAACAAATTTCCAGGAATGATAGCTTAAGCCTGTAATCCCAGAACTTGTGAGGGTGATGCAAGAGGGTCATGAGTTTGTGGCCAATGTGTAGTAACAAACTTTTTCCCCCACCCCCAAAAATATGTTCTTTTTTGTTTCATCATTACATTAATTATCTTGGCTTTCCTCTCAGAATAATGCCCATTCCTATATGACTGCCCTGAGGCAGGTGATTTTATATGTACACAATAGGTAAAGGAGATAGAAACTTTAGCAGATGCCCCAGTTCTGTATTCTGTAAAAAATGGTATGCTTTTGGAGTGAATTGCAGTACAGTAAAACTAATTAGTGATTTAGGTGTGGTGATACACAAGTTTAATCCCTGCACTTGGAGCCAGAGGCAGGAAGATCTCTGTGAGTTCATGGCCAGCCTGGTCTACATAGTAAGTTGCAGGACAGCCAGGACTACACAGAAAGACCTTACCTTTTTCTTTCTTTTATTTTTCTTTTTTGGGGGGATGGGGAGTGGCAGGGAGGCTGTTGCTTTGGTTTGGTTGTTTGAGATAGGCTTTCTCTGGGAGCCCTGGCTGTCCTGAAGCTCACTCTGTAGACCAAGCTGGCTCCAGACTTGGAGATCTGCCTGCCTCTGCCTCCTGAGTGTTGGCATTTAAGGCCTATGCTGCCACACCCAGCATGAGAAACCTTGTCTTTTAAAAAGAAAACAAAAACAAAAAACTACTGAGTGAGATCCTAGAATCTTGACGTTTTCTCTCAGTGCATCCCTGGCATTGCCCTCTGCTGATAGAGTTCTTCAGAAAAGACTCTAGACCTTAGCTCTAAAGTGCTATTGCTGAGTCTGTGTCCCATCTTCTTACAGTTGGTGAACAGACAGTTGTGCGGAGCTTTCCCATTGCCTCCATCACCAAAGAGAAGAAGATAACCATGCAGAACCAGCTACAGCAGAACATGCAGGAAGGGCTGCAGATTACATCAGCATCTTTCCAGGTACACCATAATATTTCAGATTTCAGAATACGTGCACACTCTGTCACTTGAGTGTTCCTAATTAAAAACTTCAAAACCCAACTCACATGGTGTTTTTAGAGTATTTTCAACTTCGTATGTCCACATACATAATACTCAACATGTATCAAGAAAGAAAGCCCTTCTTATTAACAGATCTAGTGATGTATCTGTTTTCTGTGGTCATAGGGGTAAGAAGGTGAGTATCTGAGGGGGTTGTCTTTGGCTTTGGATGTGACACTACACTTCAGGATTTCCTTGGTCAAAAAATTGTTAGTCAGATACACAGTTGCTCTTGTTCTCTAACAACTTATTCCTCAACTCCTGCTGATAAAACTTTACATAAAAATAATTATCTTCAGCAAAAAATACTCTATGGCTTTTTTGTGGGAAAAGTAAAACTGAGAAGTTTAGCTGGAGCTAAGATACTGTTTTCAGGAATGACTAAGTGACCCTTGATGAAACAGTGACTTTTCCAGAAGCCTTTGACTTATCAAACATGTAGAAACAATGATATATACTGTGCGTGGGAAAAGGGACCTTTTCTTCATCGTTTCTTTTTTTAAATCTGCATGTCTGTAATGGTTTGATTTCCTATTCTTTGCTGCTTGGTGCTGACTTCTGAGACTGCCAGGAATCCCAGTGCTTGCCTCTCTAGCTCCTGTGCTCTTTCAGTGGAGTCACTGCTTTAGAACCTGAGCCCTTCTCACATCGGCTGACAGCCCTGACCACTAGGGATCTGCTTACTGTCCCCTGCCTAGGCAGTCTACACTTAAATGTTGCCTGCCTACACTATTTGCCATTCTTGTAAAACTGACTTTTCTATTCCTAGATTTGTTTGTTTCTATAGCTAAGAAGGAACTCTATTAGGCTACATTCATTCTCTAGACCTAACAGTTGAAAAACAGAAAGGACACATTTCCTATTTCACCTAGGTTAATTCTTAATCTCATGGTAAAAAAGATAGTTTTAAAGAAAATCAACATCAAGAACATACTTTTTCTCGTCAACTGACAATCTATATTGAAAATAAACTTTCCTGAGCCTCACTTTTTTTACTTCTAGGCTTTATTTTATTGTATGTATATGTATATGTATGTGTGTGTAGAGGTCAGAGGACAACTTTGTGGAATCAGTTCTCTCTGCCCACCTTTACATGGGTTCTAGGGATCAAATTCATGTTGCAAACACCTTTACCTACTGAGCCATCTAGCTAGTCATATCCAAAATCCCTACAACTTCTAAAATCCTATAACTTCTAAACTTATAATTCTATTACTAATATTTTTCTATTTAATATTGTTATTTTTCTGTTACTTTTGTTTTCAGTGATGTGAGTAAAAGTTGTCAAGAAATCCTTAATGCTTCTGATGTGTTTGTCTCTCTTATCTCTAGTTGATTAAAGTAGCATTTGATGAAGAAGTCAGTCCAGAAGTGGTAGACATCTTTAAGAAACAGCTAATGAAGTTCCGTTATCCTCAGTCCATTTTTAGTACCTTCGCTTTTGCTGCTGGACAAACTACCCCACAAATCATTTTACCCAAGCAGAAAGAAAAGAATACCTCCTTTCGGTAAGAGGGTCTCTTGCCTTCATCACTTCCATAGCCAACTGAGAGGAAGTAACCTATATTTCATTAATGATGGCTTTTCTCATATCTTGTCTGTGTGCATGTGTGTACATCTGTATGCCACCTGTGTGTGGAGGTCAAAGGACACCTTGTGGGACTCAGTTCCCTCCTTTTACCATGTGGATACCAGGGATTGAACTCAGGTCATCAGGAACAAGCACCTTTATCCGAACTAACCATTTTGCTGCCCCCCTTGTGTGTGTTTGTGTGTGTGTTTTGTTTTTCAAGACAGGGTTTCAAAATCTGTGTAACTTTGAAGCCTAAAGTTTTGGACTCCCCCCCCCCCTTTTTTTGTCAGCCTCTAATATTTCTTATCTCATTAATTAAAACTGATTTTCAAAAGGATTCTCAATATCTAAGTTGTTATTTTATCCTCCTAATGTGAAGGAAGATTGAGAATTTCAGTGCATGATTGAAGACTTGCTAATGTGATTTAGGGAACCATGGTGGAGGTGATAGTATGGATAACAGAATAGGCTTGGGAATGCTGAAACTGAACCAAGGAGTTTAAGATTTGAGTAATCAGCTGGGCATGGTGATACACTTTTTAATCCCAGCACTCAGGAGGCAGAGGCAAGTGGATCTCTGTGATTTCAAGACAAACCTATTTTACCTAGAAAATTCCAAGACAACCAGGAGACATAGGAGACCGTGGGGAGGAGGGAGAGAGATATTTGAGTGATCAGTAGTTTGTGTCACACTTTGAGTTCTTGTACTTTGAGCCCGAAGCAGTGTCCTCATGGCAGTGACATTTATATATAGGAAAGTAGTTCTCCACAATATGGAAAGTGATACTAAGAAGCTTAACAACAGTATGATCATAGTACATACAATCCATAAGGATATAGGTCTGAAGAAGAAACTGAAGTAATATAGCTATCATAAGTATTAGTAGAGCCTTTATATTAAACTTATTTTCTCTTGTTTTTATGAGAACTTTCTCAAAAACCATTGTGAAAGGTGCCAAAAGGGCAGGAAAAATGACAATTGGGAGGCAGTATTTATTGAAGAAGAGAACAGGAACAATTGTAGAAGAAAGAGTAAATCGTCCTGGGTGGAATGAAGAAGATGACATTTCTGGTATGTAAGAAGAATTAATTTTCCATAATTCAATTTTCTTCCTTGTTTTCTTTTTTGGTTGGTTAATTGGTTGGTTTTGTTTGGGGTTTGTTTGTTTGTTTGTTTGTTTGTTTGTTTGTTTGTTTGTTTTTTGAGACCAGGTCTCACTATGTATGTAGCCCTGGCTGTCCTGGAACTTGCTACCTACACCAGGCTGGTCTTGAACTCACAGAGATCTGCTGATGGAAGTTTCTGTCCCACCAAGTCCCACAGCTGTTTGGTCCCAAATAAACACACAGGGGCTTATATTAATTATAAACTTTTTTGACAGATGGTGCAGGCTTTTTATTGGCTAGCTCTCTCTTAATAATTAATCCATTCCTATTAATCTATGTATCTCCACGTGGTCTTGACTTACCAGAGAATGTCTGGATGTCCTACCTTCCAGGTAGCTACATGGCATTTCCCTGACTATGCCTACTACCTTTCTCTATCCCTGTTTGGATTGCCCACCTGGCTAAATGCCTGTCGGTTGGCTGAAACAGCTTTACTCATTGACCAATAAGAAAAACATATGTTGACAGCATACAAGAAGGCATCCCCCATCAGAGATCCACTTTCCTCTGCCTTCTGAGTGCTGAGATAAGGTGTATGCTGCCATGCTTGTCTGTTTTTAAATGAGTAACAAGAGACTAAGTTGTTGTACATAAATTCTAATGCACAATAGCTGTGAAAACTTTGTGAGCACCTAACAGTTTCTCAGAAGTGGGAAGATAAATTTTTACTAATATTCTATTGTTTAGAAAAGATTTGGTTGGATATATATAAATAAAGACAGGTTCTCATGTAGTCCAGACTAGCCTTTAAGTCACCATGTAACCAAGAATAAATTCCTCATCCTCTTGCCTTCACCTCCTGGATGCTGGGATTGCAGGTGTATGTTCCATCATGCCTGTTTTTGTAGCGCTGCATGCATCCTATGCAACCACTCTGGCTAGTGAACTACATCCCCAGCCTGATATTTGTTAACTTATATTGCTCCTTTACTAAGTCACATGCCAGCCATTTTTATCTGGGTCATATTAGAGGGAGAAAGAAGGAAATCTTTCTCACAAAATAAGAACAAGGGAATAAGAATCTAGGTTGTGGTGGTGATGCACCCCTGTAATCCCACACTAGGGAGGTAAAGGCAGACAGCTTTCTATGAGTTTGAGGCCAGCCTGGTCTACAGAACTAGTTCCAGGTTAGCCAGGGCTTCACAAACCCTGTCTTGAAAAACCAAAAAAAAAAAAAAAACTTCCAAGTTAAAGAGTAGGGGAACTGAAGATGAGAAATCATTAGGTAATTAAAAAATAATACCTGAGAGATAATTTTTAAAATACATGTAGTTAGACAAGATATTTCTTAGCTGGGAAAAATAGAAGAAAGCAAGATGTCTTGTTGAATGATTTTTTTCCCCCAATTTTTAACCAAGGATTGAATATGCTATGGATATAATACATAAAACAGTATGTAATGGATGGAAAATAATATTGTCCCTTTGCCAACTCAAGAACTTAGATTCCATCAACAGTAATTATACAAGTAGCACATGTAACAATCTTTTTAAAAAAAAAAAACACCTCATTTTTAGTGAGAATGTTGCCTAAAAAATGCTCATCTGGCTTGCTAAGATAAAGAACCTACAAGATTTTGTGGGTAAAAAGACTTATCCCTGTGAACAATAAAAAGACCTCTGTTGTTTGTTTCACTCTTTCTATTCTTTGGCTTTTTACTCTTTTTTTTGGGGGGGGGCTGCCACCCAGCTCCAAATTAAAATACACAGAGGCATATTATTTATGAATGTCCAGCCTTACCTTGGCTTGTTTCCAGCCAGCTTTTTTTAATCTTAAATTATCCCAGCTATCTTTTGCCTTTAGGCTTTTATCTTTCTTTATTTCTATAATCCTAATTTCACTCTTACTCCATAGCTTGCTGTGTAGCTGGGTGGCTGGCCCCTGATATTCTCCTCTCCTTGTTCTATCTTGCTTATAATTTTTAATCTATTTACTTCTTTCTGTGGCTGTCTATACCCATTTTCTTTTCTTTTCTATTTTTTTCTTAAGCCTACGCTTAAGAAAACATACTGGAACCTGTTTACAGGTTTTTTTCTATCTGGATCTCTTTCACTTTGTCTCTCCAGTCTTTTTTGACAGCATGAGCAAACTAAACTGCTAAGCTACACCTGGATCCTCTGCATGGCTGTCAGCTGGCTCTACACGCTTCCAAGTTTGTGAGAGGCAAGCCTAAAGCTCAAGGCCTATTTGTGGGTTCCTGACCGGGAACTGCATTCAACCCTCCTAGATGTAGGAAGCTGGTACCTGAGTTGCCACAAGCAGTTTTTTTGTTTTTTTGTTTTTTTTTGTTTTTTTTTTTTTTTTGTTTTGTTTTGTTTTAACTTAGCTTATCAGGCATTTTAATTTTTTATTTATTTATTTATTTTAACTTAGCTTGCCTTTTCTATTTAGCACTACTGCTTGAACAGCAGCACCTATAAAGGAACAATATCCTATTTCTTTCTTTCTTTTCTTTTTCATTCCATCTTTCTCAGGCCCTACATGGAAATTTGAGAGTCCCACACTGGTATGCCAAAATGTAGTTATTTTTACCTTTTTACTTTTTGGGGGGACCCACCACACAGCCCCCAAATAAATCACATGAGTCTTAGTCATATATATGACTAAGGCATATATATATATATATATATATATTTTTTTTTCTTATTTTACATATTGATCCCAGTTTCCTCTCCCTCCCATGCCCCCTGACTCCCCTCTCATCCCATCTCACACACATACACACACACACACACACACACACACACACACACACACACTCTCTCTCTCTCTCTCTCTCTCTCTCTCTCTCTCTCTCTCTCTCTCTCTCTCTCTCTCCCCACAGGGAGGGTGATTCCTTCCAGGAGGGATCATCAAAATCTGTCAAGTCATTTGGAGTAGGGTCTAGGTCATCCCTCCTGCCTCTAGGCTAAGGGAGTATCCCTCCATGGGGAATGTGCTCCCAAAGTCCTTTCATGCACCCGGGATACATCCTGGTTCCATTGTCAGAGGTCCCTTAGACTGCCCAGGTGTTCTAACTGAGACCCATGTCACAAAAATATAAGAGTCTTAGTCTTTCTTATACACTCCCAGCCTTAGCTTGGCCTATTCCTCTCTCCTTTTTTTTTTTTTTTTTTTTTTTTTTTTTTTTTTTAATTGTGCTATACATATATTTTTCCCTACTCCAGTTCCCTCCTCCCCTTTTCCCTTCCATCCTCCTCTGTGCTCCTCCCCCCCCCCCCCCCCCCCCCCGCTTCCAGTTTACTCAGGAGATCTTGTCTTTTTCCCCTTCCTAATCAGATCCACGTATATCTCTCTTAGGGTCCTCTTTGTTACCTAGGTTCTCTGGGGTTGTGGCCTGCAGGCTGGTTGTCCTTTGCATTATGTCTAATATTCACTTATGAATGAGTACACATTACATTTGTCCTTCTGGCTCTGGGTTACCTCACTCAGGATGGCTTTTTCTAGTTCTGTCCAATTGCCTGCAATTTTTTTTTAACTGCTGAGCAGTACTCTATTGTGTAAATGAACCACATGTCCTTATCCATTCTTCAGTTGAGGGGCCTCTAAGTTGTTTTCAGGTTCTGACTATTACAAATAATGCTACTATGAACATAGTTGAACAAATGTACTTATGTGAGTGTGCATCCTTTGGGTATATGCCCAAAAGTGGTATTGCTGGGTCTTGAGGTATATTGATTCCCAATTTTCTGAGAAACCACCATAGTGATTTCCTAAATGGCTGTACAAGTTTGCACTCCCACCAACAATGGAGGAGTGTTCCCCTTTCTCCACATCCTCTTCATCATAAACTGACATTGGTGTTTTTGATCTTGGCCATTCTGACAGGTGTAAGATGGTATCTCAGAGTCCTTTGATTTGCATTTCCCTGATGACTAAGGATGCTGAGCATTTCCTTAAGTGTCTGTTGAGAGTTCTCTGTTTAGATCTGTACCCCATTTTTTTTTAATTGGATTATTTGGTGTTTTGGTGACTAGCTTCTTGAGTTCTTTGTATATTTTCAAGATCAGCCCTCTGTCAGATATGTGATGTGTAAAGATCTTTTCCTGTTCTTTAGGCTGCTGTTTTGTCCTATTGACCATGTTCTTTGTTTTACAGAAGCTTCTCAGTTTCAGGAGGTCCCATTTATTAGTTGTTTGTGCTACTGGTTTATATTTAGGAAGTGGCCTCCTATGACTTGGCTCATTTGCCAGCTTTTCTTAAATTATCCCAACTACCTTTTGACTCTGAACTTTTTCCTTTTCTAACTTCTATATATCTTACTCTGTGGCTGGCTGGGTACCTGGCGACTAACATCCTTCTCTCCTTGATCTATCTTGCTCCTTCCTAGCTCCTTTTCTAGTTTCTTCTTCCCAGATTTCTCCTCCTATTCTCTAAAGTACTTGGTTATTGAGTAAATTCTTCCACATTTAAATCATAGAGGAATGTGAACCTGTGATTACAAAGACTGACAGTTTTTTGTATATATTACATCCTCTAATGAAAGGATTTCCAGGAACCAAGTGAACTTTTCATAGTTTTCCCTCTACTATGCTTTTAATTAATTTAGAAATTTCAGTATAAATGTATTCTTTTAGAAATAATATAAAACCTTGGATGATGACTTCATGTCGTGATCTTATTAAAGATGCATTTTAGTAACAGGTTATCCTCTGTTTTAGAGTTCTGTATACAAATTACTATACTTCAGTATCAATGGACAGGCTTGGCTGAAACAAAAGAAAAATGTGCCTAATAAATTTAAAATCATGTTATTTTTTAGTTGTTTTGCTCTTGTTTGCTCCAGTCTTTCTGGCTGGCCTGAAACATACTATATAGACTAGTCTAGCTTCAAATTTAGAGGTCCACCTGCCTCTGCCTCCTTAGTACTGGGATTAAAGCCCTATGCCACCACACCAGGTGAATTTTCAATTTCCTTGTTTTTTGAGACAGGGTTTTATATAGCCAAGGCTGGCCTTAAACTTCTAGTATTCTTGCCTTTGCTTCTCAAATGCTGGGAGTTTTAGGATGCACCTACCATGCCTTACTTGGTTTTTAGAAGTTATTTAAATGGTATTACTACACTGATTTTTTTGTTGTTACTCTTAATATATTTACTGACTTCCATTTACTGTTTTCATCTCATCTATATTGAACTATAATTCCTTGGAGAAATTATGATTTAGTTTATTATACATAAAATCCTGGTAACCCTAACATAAAAACCTTCTTCAAAAGGAGGTTTTGAGACAGGCATGGCATTGGGGAGGAAGACGTAAGCAGGTCTTTGTGAATTCCAGACCAGCCTTATATACATATCAAGTTCCATGTCACCCCAAACTACATAGTGAAAACCCTGTCTCCAATAAAGATGAAGTAGTAGTAGTTTTTGTTGTTGCTATTGTTTTAAGTCCTTAACTTTGAGATAATCATTTTGACAATACCTGTTTCTGCCTGTAAGTTTCAGATGATAGTGAACTCCCAACAAGTACAACCCTGAAGGCCTCCGAGAAATCCACAATGGAACAGTTGGTGGAAAAAGCATGTTTCAGAGATTATCAGCGCTTAGGTTTGGGAACCATAAGTGGCACCTCCTCCCGTGCAAAACCGGAGTATTTCCGAATCACTGCCTCCAATAGGCTGTATTCACTATGCAGGAGGTAAGTGTCACTTGGCTCTAGAAAGGGATCTTTATTTCCCATTTGAATCTTCAAATATTCCAGAAACAAGATCCCAAAGATGTGTAGACTTAAGAGATATGTCTTATGCAATATGAGATGGCATCCCATTGGTGTTCTCAGAAAAAGTAGGTTACTAAAAATCACCTCTGCTGTAGCAGAAGGTGACAGTGCTTGTTCCCTCTGCAATTTCCTTATTATCTTTCCTTTTGTAGTCTGGCTGTTTTCCAGCCTGTGTGTGAAGATGACCTAAAGTAAAAATAACATCTGCAAGAGAAGAATGTCTGCTGGAGGCCTGAACTCCACAGACATTCTCCAGAGGCAGAGAGTGAAGATGGACAGTTTGCAGACCATATGGCCTATTATTGCAGGAGCTTAACTCTGCCACCAAAGTAACCATAGACTAAGGAGTGAATAGGTGTGGCAGGCTTTGGCCACAGGCTGTGATTTACTGGCCCAGATATAGGTAGGGGCTCTCCTATATTGTCTACTTAAAGTGCTTTCCTAAGATACTGCTTTAAAAAATGTTAATGAACACATCTTTTCTTTGTTCTTGTCACTTATTGCTGTTTTCCAAAAATGTTAAATTCTATTTTATGCTTTACTATATATATATATATAAATATATTCTCTAGAACTATACTCCACTCTACACAAATTTAATACTTTGATTACACAGTAGGTGATTTTACTTGAACTTATAAAATTTCTGATTTCATTAAGTAGCTCTAAAAGCACTTTGTAAATTGTAATCCTTGTATATATTTTAGACAGTTGCCTTAATGCTGATAGTAGTCTCAGCTCTATTTGTTGAAGAACTGTAGGTAATTCAAGCTTACATATGGCTTTGTAAAACTTAACAAGTTGGAAATATAGTTTGAAACTATGGCCAAGGAAAATATTTGCACAAAAACATAAAAACTTAGGACTCTGAATATATAGTCATTTTTCTGAGCTTCCCTATCCTTCACACTAACTCCACTTCCTAAATAAGTACAAGTGGAATTGTCAGTGCAATATCCTGTTAGGGAAAGCTTGCTATCAGAATTATGTCTGCTAGTGAAAGAACAGACTTCATTTATCATTCCAATCTGTCAGAAACAAAATCTTTTCTTTTTCCTTCTAAGTTTATAACCACTGCTTGGTTAGCTTTTTTTCCCCTCTCCCTTTTCCTCCTTCCAAACCCTCCCATGCATCACTACCCCCTTTGCTCTCTTTCAACTTGGTGGCATATATACATACATGTATATATTCCTAAATGTATAAATACAACTTTCTCAGTCCATATAAATGTTATTTGTTGTGCTAGTTAGAGTTACTATTGCTTTGATAAAACACCATGGCCAACAGCAGGTTGAGGACGTAAGGGTTTATTTCACACACAGTGCCATATCACAGTTCAGCATCAAAAAGAGTGAGAGGGCAGGATCTCATGCAGGGCAGGAACCTGGAGGCAAGAACTGATGCAGAGGCCAAGGATGGGTACTAGCTTGCTTCCTGTTGCTTGCTCAGCCTGCTTTCTTACAGACCAAGGACCACCAGTCCAGGAGTGACTCTACTCCTAATCAGCTGGGCCCTCCCACGTCAATCACCACTAAGAAAATGCCCTATACACTTGCTTACAGCCCAGCAGGATCTTATGGATACATTTTTCTCAATTGAGACTCCCTCCTTGAATGACACTTGTGTCAACTTGACATAAAACTAACTAGCCAGTATGTATGCAAATGTGTGTGTGTACATATATGTATGTTTTTGCACATATATATGATTTCGGGACTAACCACTTGGTATTGGATAACCACTTTAGAACCCTTCCCTGGGAAAGACTATTTTTCTGCTCTCAGCATTCCTTAGTTGCCTGTAGTTCTTTATTGAGGATTGAGGCCTGATGGTCTTTCCATGTCCACTTTATCAGGTCTGTTATTGTCTTAATAGAAGATAGTTGGAATACTTCTTTTTTTTAAAAAAAAAAAAATTGCTTTTAATTTAAATTAAAAGCAATCTTATTTTTTGTTCTTTTTTTTTTTTTTTCTACATTCCAAACCCAGTTCCTTCTCCCTCCTTTTCTCCCAAACCCTTCACACCCCTCTCCTCCCATCTGCTCCATGGGCCTCCCCTAGGAAGTCTGTTAAGTCTGTCCTATCATCTAGTTGAGGCAGGACCAAGACACCTCTCCACCAAGTCAGTTTGTGTATTAGTGTTAGGTCTTGGACCCACTGCCAGTGGCCTCATATATTGTCCCAGTCACACCATTGTCACCTATATTAAAGGAGTCTAGATTCAAAAATATTAAGATCATTAAAGCTTCACAAAAACAGATACTTCCAAGTTCTTGGATTAGAAGCCTCAATGAAAACCGCGGTAACAAAGGCTGAAAAGGTGACTGTAAGTTACATAGCATTACAGAGGACCAAGAGTAGTCCAGGTACTTACAGAACAATACTATCAAAACTTACAGAACAATACTGCAGGCTATCAAGACTTTATTTAGCCAAAGTAATCAGAGGTGGAGAGATGATTCTGTGATTAAGAGCACATACTGCTCTTGCAAAGGCCCCAAGTTTGGTTCCCATAGCTCACGCTGTAGCAGTTAACAACCGCCTCCAGTACCAGGGGATCCGATGCCCTCTTGTGGTTTCCATAGACACCTGTACTCATATACACATACCCACACAGACATAGACATGTGATTTTAAAACATAATATGAACTTTTTTAATGTTTATTTTATGTGCATCAGCATTTTGCCTACATGTGTGTTTGTGTGAGGGTGTCAGATCCCTGGAACTGGAGTTACAGACAGCTGTGAGTTGCCATGTGGGTGAAAGGAATTGAACCCAGGTTCTCTGAAAGGGCAGCCACTATCTCACTAGTCCTGATAACACAAACTTTTAAAAAAGAAGTACTGTCCAAAAAAAAAAAAAAAAAATACAGCAATTAAGGTAATCTTGGAGTACCACAAACAGACTAATGGAAATAAGAAATGTAGGAACATTTGGTTTCAGAAAAAAAGCAGTTGGTGGAAGTTTGGTTTTTGCTGTTTAATAAATAGTCCTGGAGATATATATATATGTTTCCTTTAAGGAAACATTAATCTTGATTCCTGTCTTATACACAAAAACTCAATTCCCATTGATTTATACAAAATGTTTTTAAAATAAAGCTTCTATAAAATTGGAGAATAGTCAGGCAGTGGTGCCCCACACCTTTAATCTCAGTACTCAGGAGGTAGAAGCAGGCAGATCTATGAGTTCAAGAACAGCCTGATCTACAGAGTGAGTTTCAGGACAGCCAGGGCTATACAGAGAAACCCTGTCTCAAAAAAATGAATAAATAAATAAATAAAAATAAATGGAAAGTATTTTTCAAGACCTTGAGATAGGAAAAGTTTCTTGTGACTAGAGACTGAAATAGGATGATCATAATTCAAGGACAGCATGGGCTACAGTGAGAACATTTCTCAAGAAGAAAGAGAAATGGGATAAGAAGGGAAGTTAAAATGGTAACAGGAAATTTTAATAAACATTCCATAGGAAAGTAGTTATTTTGGTGGGAAAAATTAAACACACAAAATCATCCTTTCAGTAAATGAACAAATGTTTGAGAAGACTGATCCCAAAAGAAATGTTAAGTGTCCCATAAATATATGAAAAATGTTAATCATCCTTAATTCTTAGAAGAATGCAAATTAGTGCATTAAGATTCCATTCCCATCCCCTGTCAGACTGGATATTGACAAAACAATGAGTAGCAACAAATGATGGTGAGGATTTTAGAAAGGAAACCCTTTTATCCTGCTGGTGAGAATATAAAAAGATGTGGTCACTGTGGAAATCAAATTGGAGGTTCCTCAAAACACTAAATAGGATTTCCATATGATCTAGCCATACCACTGATGGATATAAACTTGAGTGAATCTAAGTCAGCCCACAACAGACACATTTGCTTGTCCGTGTTTATTGCAACACTGTTCACAATAACCAAAATAAGGAACCAACCTAGATGCCTATCACAGATGAATAAAGAGAATGTGGTAGATATACACCATGGAATTTTATTCAACTATAAAAAATGAAATATATCATTTGTAGGAAAGTAGATGGAACTGGTAAGCATCATGTTAAGCAAAATAAACTAGACTTGTAAATACAATATCACATTTCCCCTAATATGCAGAATCTACATTTACTATTATATATATATGACATGCAAGTGAAAGTACTAGTGAGGGGAGAGGAGTGTTAAAGAGGGAGGTAAACAGGGAACAAGAGAAGGTAATAGAGGAAAACAGAGTACTACATTTTCTCTTATGAAGTTTGTGTTTGACCCGAAAGCAGTATTATTTGGTGGGAAGGCAATGAACAAGAATAGGGGAAGAAGAGTTGGGGTGATATATATATACAACTTTATTAATGTACTTAACTGTATTTGTGAAGTGAATAATAACATGGTAAATTTTATGTCAAGCATATTTTACCAGGATAATAAAAAAAATCACTGAGGAGTTAAAATAAGTGTGATTATTCAAATAAAGCACATTTTTTCACTTACAAATTATGTACTCATCCTGTCCTGAACTTTGAGAGCCTGTCTTTAAAAATGAATACATGAACATGGAGATATGTTGTATGAAATTCTCTGAGAATTAATTTTAAGTTTTTTAATTTAAAAAAAAATTATCATAACACAGACTTGGTGGCACACACCTTTAATCCCAGCCCTTAGGAGCCAGAGGCAGAAGACAGATAGGTCTCTGAATTCAAAGCTAGCTCGGTCTCCATTAAATTCCAGGCCAGCCAGGGTTACATAGTTAAGTTCTTGACTATAAATAAATAAATAAACATCATTATGTAGTGTTAATGAAACAAGTCAACTTGTTCTGACATTTGAACTTTTTGTTGTCATTCCAAAATTCAATTTGGTTTTGATTTTTAACCCTTTCACTTCTTAGGCAGTCTACAAGTGGCTTTGTTCTCTGTTGTCATTAAGTTGTTGACAGTTTGGCTTTTTCTCATATCACAGACCTTTAATCCTAGTACTCAGGAAAGCAGAGGCAGATGGATCTCTGTGTGTTCAAGGCCAACTTGGTCTATATAGTGAAAGACCCACAGAGTGTGGACCTTCACACTCCCACTTAGGAAAAGCAACACCTCAAATCACTCACGAGAGGCAGTCTTGATGCAAAAGCATGAGGACTTTTAATTCCAAGTGCACTGGGGTCCACAGTCATACGCCACGTAGGGGTAGAGGACTGAGGACCCTGAGTACAGAACTGAGACAGCTTTTATAGGTTTACAACAAAGCCCACGCATAGTAAACCAATCATCTCATAGCATCCAGAGTCCACGCAGTGCGGACCAATCAATTTAAACCATCCAAGCCCACGCTTTATAGACCAATCAGTTTCCTATAGCCCTGGAGGTCTGCATTTGTGTGGGCTCCTAGGTGGGGTGACAAATGGCAGTTAGGTTAGATCACTGGAGCGGGGGTTTCACAAGCAGTTTATAAAGTCAGGTAAGCGGCAAGGAGTGTGACCTTTTGCCTATTTACTGGCTGAGGGCAGGGTCTGGAATTTAAGGTATTTAGTATTTTTAAATTTCTAGCTTCCTGGGGTCATTGGAGAGTTAGGCTTTATTTTTCCATCCTTACAATAGCAAGTTCCGGGCCAAACAGGGCTATGTAATAAGACTGTTTCAAAAAAAAAAAAAAAAAATTGAGTTTAAATGAACTTCCATATTTTATGGCACATCTCCACCAATATGTTTCTGCATATTCAAAACTCACAGTGATATGCTTTTTATACTTTTATCTCAATTCCAGTGTTTCTTACCCTTATCCCAATTACTCTCTTTCTCCCCTCTGCATTCCTGAAGCTACCCTGGCCTTTTAGTCATACCTCAAGCTGTACAAGACAGTAGTTTACCAAGAGTAGCCCGCTGCTATCGACACAATCGCCTACCCGTCGTATGTTGGAAGAACTCAAGAAGTGGTACTCTGCTCCTCCGATCTGGGGGATTCCATGGGAAGGGAGTTGTTGGTCTTTTCAAATCACAGAACTCCCCTCAAGCCGGTAAGCATCGCTGTACAACACAGCTCTCACTGAAGAATATTCCTAACCCCCGAACAGGCACAGTGTCTAGGCCTGTGGACTCAGCTCCCTGGGAGCTGAGGCAGGGTCATTTGGTCCCTTTGATCCCTGAAGGTTGAGGGCATCCTGAATGCCACAGTGAGGCTGGAGAGACAGCATCTTCCCAAAGGTAAAGGGAGTAAAACCTGGCTCCAGCTGCCTCTCCCAACACCTTGTTCCCTGTGCCAAAAGCACAATGTGCAGAGTTGGACCTAAGTGAAGACAGCTGTGGGCATGTGGGATTCCATGTTGTATTTAACATCTTACTTATTTCTTGTTTTTTGACAGATAATAGGCTTTGATTCTAGGTTGTTTTCATTCTGACAAACCAGAATACCCATTATTAGAAACTAGATTGTACCAGTCTTTGCTTTTTTTTCTGAAAAGTATGCAGATAAATTTAAGAGTTGCAGAGATCAATAGGGATTTTGTCCTGTGTGGCATGTGAATATATACAAATGATAACAGTGAACTCAACCAAATGCAGCTTTTGACAGTCTCAGACCAAAAGTTTTTAGGAAGCTAGGGAAGTAGGAAGTGATGTTGTCCCTTGTCCTGGGGATATTTAGGAGCATCATGACCAACATAGTAATGTATGTATGAGTATAGTTTGCTGACTTTTTTCATAGTTTCTAGTTAAACTTTGACCCACTACAGTATTAGATATGATTTGGGGAATAACATTCTTTTTTAGAACCCAAAATCTTTGGTCAAGAAGGTAGAAACGCCATGTGATTTTTGAGATCTCTGCATTTATCTACTTCCCTCCTGAAAGTTGGCCCATATACCCCCCTCATAATTTGCCCCCCTCATAATTGAGGGCATCATACACGTACTGTATTGTGCCTGGCTTGGAGTTTCAACAGTGTTTAAAAAGGAAGCTGATTTTGCCACTTTCTGTTTTAGAGAGTTCTCCCAAGCCAATGTGTGTATATTAGAGCATAAGCAGATATTACTGCAGAGAGCCTGAGAGTTCAGGGACACTGGCAAGCATATTCCTGTGTTCTGATTTCTCCGATAGGAATTTTGTTTTTTATTTTTTTATTCTAGTATGTGTTCTATATTTCTGAATAAATGCATTTGCTTAAACTGTTTTGATGTTCTTCAAATTGGGATGTGCCTTCTAATTGATGTGATCAGAAACAATAGTGTCATAGTTGAAAATGGCATGTGAACCTTTATTTGATGATATCTTAGAGCAGATAAAAATAATGCTAATTTCTGTTTACGGTATAAGAAAATGTATGATTCTGTTGTCCTTGTAGTACACCTCTTCTGGATACTTGTGCCTGCCAAGTATGTAGTATCTACCTATAATCCCAGCATTCAGGAGAGGTGGAGGCAGGAGGAGCAGTATTTCAAGGTCAACCTCAGCAACTTAATGACTTTGAGGCCAGTCTGTACTACATGAGCCTTTATCAGTGATTTATTTTGCTTCACACAAACTAGACTCATATTCCTGCCAACTATTTGCTTTATAGTTATTTGTATTTGTGTCTGATTTCTGTCCCTCTTTTAGAAGGAGGAGGGCAGGTGACAAAAATGGCTCCTATATTCCTCCTGTCTTCCTCTACTCTTCCAGCAACAGAGCCCCAATACCCATGTCACTTGTTAAGATATTCTTACCTCTGCCTATTCTGGAATGCCAAAGAAACCCCACTCTGTCTTCTAACATGGGCAAGATGTGAGGAAACCATCAAGGATGTTTGGGGATCTTCATTTTGATTCTATCAATACATCTATGTTTAGAAGGCGAGTCCTGTGCTGGCTTTCCAGACTTGGGCCTTTTATGGGAGAATCATGAGCAGTTGAGAAGTAGATTTGTTGAAACCTGCATCAAAAGACAAACTACATAATTGATCAGGCTCTAAATCTAACTGGTTTCTATATTTGGGTGTGGTAGCATGAAATTATATAAAGAAAGTATAAGCGAGTATAGTTGAGCTTATTTTATTAACAAACTTATTTTATATATTTTTCTTTTGTATTATAGTTTCTACCTCCTCTTTAGAATCTTCCAGTAGCATAGAGCAAGAAAAGTACTTACAAGCATTATTGACTGCAGTTACTATCCATCAGAAACTCAGAGGCAACAATACCCTGACTGTCAGACCAGCACTTGCTCTGTCCCCAGGTAAGAGCTGTTGATATTCCTTGACAACTACTCTGAAAAGGCAGTGTCTGTTTCTGAGGTTAATCTCTTTAGATACATGCTTTTAGTTACTTCAACGTGACTCCTGAAAATTTTTACCCTGCAAGGACATAATTTAGCTTCTTTTATTTAGAAGTCAAAGTATCACTGTTTTTGTCTAGTAATTAGTAACTATGTATAGATACTCAATTATTTTCTTTTAAAAATAGTAATAAAACAGAAGGTATCAAACATAAAGTACCAGAATCTACTTTACATAAACCTTAAAATATTATTATGAAGTTGAATGTATAAGTTGAAGATCTGATTATTAAATGTATACTGATTAAAAATTATCATATAAATTTGAAATTCCCAAAATTTCTTTAGCCTTTTATGATTTTGTAGTAGTTTGTTTTCTGTAGATTTGGATGAAGCCATTAAGACTTGTACTAATATTCTGTTTCAGTTATCATGTGATGGAACCCCAAAGGGTTCATGTAGAGGTAACCCTGATATGTTAGACAGGAGCATGTGACTTGAGAAGTTGGTCTCTTTGGCTTTATCAACTATCTGAATTACCTCAACATAAGCAGAAAAGTGGCTTTTCTTGCAAAGTAACACCATGCATGCCTTGCTTCATTTATCATTGGATTCTCTGATTGCAGTTGCCAAACCTAACTCTATAATCTTTCAAATATGTGTTATCTCTGGTGAAATAATAACATTGCTGTGTTATCTCTAATAAAGCTTTTGGGGTTTTTAAAAGTACACTGTTTGGCAGCAATTAGACTTGCTACACATGAAGATAACTTTTTGTCATTTGAGTAATATTAACCTGAACACCATGATTTTGTTCTTTTTTTTTTTTTTGGCTGACTTTAGGGACTGAAAGGAGGACTTCAAGAATGTCCACTGTGCTTAAGCAGGTAGTGCCAGGACATTTGGATGTAAACCCATCCAATAGCTTTGCTCGAGGAGGTTAGTAAGACCAATTTCATAACTGAGCACTGAAACTAGCTTAACAGAGGAGAACATTCTTCAAAATAGATGTTTTAAAAATCAACTAATCATGTTTTTGAGTTGTTCTTAATTACCCTTCTCCAATGAATGATCAAATTTATTCTAGTGACATAGGTGTTATTATACCTTATAGAACAATGAGTATAATATTAATGATGCTTACATATTGATGAATTAGAGAGAATGAGGATGTGAATTAATTATGTTTAAATGGTGACAGCCCACCAGTTCACAGGGTAAAAAGACTACTTACAAAATTAGAAGAGATACCAAATTTAGTTGTGTTCAGAACCTTTAATTTTACTAGTCTTGGAGGGTAAGCTAAAATAATATCTAAATTTCTCTTCTTCGCTCTCACTGAATATAGCAACTGAATAAGGAGATAGAAAAGTAGTCACTTCACTCTAGTCTCTGCAAGATTCTTTGACTCTGCAAACAAAATTCTAAACCAGGCATCTTGACTGCAGAGTTCTGCTGCTCCACAGCAGAGTTATAATCATAGATTTTTTTTTCCCCCTCTGTACAAGGATGACGCTCTTTGAAAACAAGCCATCCACATGATCTGGTTCTGCGTGGACATTGTCAGTTATAGACAATTCCTTTCTTTCCAAAAATAGTGCTTTGCATGTACAAGCAACTCTTTGTTAAGAAGGTCTTTCTCATATTTCTAAATCTCTACTACCAGATAATTTTTACATGTTGACCTTTGCTCAAGCAGCATACATCTATAATCCCAACACTCAGGAAACAGAAGGATAATAAGTTTGAGGCCGACTGAATATAAGGAGTTAAAAAAATAAATCGAATTTTTACACTTTAGATCTTCAGCTTTAAAAGCTGTTTTCATGTTTTCTCTCTGTTTTAATTATCTTTGAGTTTCCCCCAGGTTATTTGGTTGTAGCCCACTCACTATCGTCTACACAGTGTGGCTTCTACAGAATCACACCCAGCACTTCAGGTGTTTAAACAACTTTAGATTACCTTGTGGGCAAAGCCCCATCCTGCAGCAAGCCCATGCTAGAGTAATGTTTGGCATGTGCTGCTATTCTTAACGTACTGACCTGGAGAATTGCTTTTGGTCATAAGTATATGCTATTGGTTGTACCTATAAAATTTATCCTTCTGGGTGTTTTCTAAATATAGACTATTAACTGTGTTAGAATTTGGATATTAGTTCTGTCCACTGGTATGTTAATAGTTTGGGTTTTTTTTTATTTAATAAAGTTTTATTTTTCCAAATGTACAGCTGATTGAACCTGTTTATGTATCTTCACCAGCAGCTGGGGCATCTCCACCCTTTGTGTTTCTGGTGTAAACTACTTGGGCTTGATTAAGCCTTTACTAAGCAGCTCCTGAAGGGCTGCTCTGGCCAGGGAACCTAGAATCTTCAGTCTCTCAGAGACCACAGCCAGAGTGGCACTTCCTTGCAGAGTTTGTCGTATGTAGCTTTGTCAAACAGAACTAGATTATTGAGCTTGTCCCGAACCTTGTCTTTGGACCACTTCTTTGTGGCCTTGCCACCAGACTTGTTTACTAGGTCTTTGTCTTTCTTGGCCGACTTTCCAGCATCTTTCTTCTTGTCATCCTTAGGCGGCATGAAGAAGCTTGGAGAGTGGCGACGACCACTGCAGCCTCCCTAAGATGTCAGAAAAAAAAAGGAAGCATGTTAATAGTTTTTACAGACCCTTTTCATCTATAGAGTCAATTTCTGTTCTCATGTTGTTTGAAAAACAACACACAAACATTAAAAAAAATCATCAGTAAAGCAAAGGCAGAGTCATATAAGCTCTGAAAGAGAGTGGTCTTTACAGGCTGTGTTCTTACTAAAATCCATTTAGTCCTTTTTCTAAACTGATGCCATTCTTTTTAATCAAGAATATTTATCTGTATCACCAGATATTTTTATGGTTATTTTTACATGACATAAGATTCAGTGCTTTTTCCTAAGAACTATAAAAAGTCTATAAATAATCCATTGCAGAATTTGGTTCAGAGTCAACATATAAGCTGTTTTTCAAAATTCAGCCTTTTCCCTATACATGTCCTGATAGTTTTCAAATGCCTCATCAAAACCATCTGAGATTACATTTCTTCCCAAGAGCTTCCAGCTTTCTGGAGCCATGCTTGCAGTTAATTTGTTAGGCCTGAGACTGGTGTTTCATTTCCTGGGGCTACTATAGCAAAGTACCACAAATGGTGGCTTTAGGCCCAAAGTTTTAGAGCAGCCAGAAGTCCAGAATCAAGGTCAGCATCCTGAGGGCTTTTAGGAAAAATGTTTGATGACTGCCTTCTAGGGGCTGGAAGTTATAAAGAAATCTGTGGCATTCATTTGTGTGTAGAGGCATCTCTCCGATCTCTGTTTTCATCTTTATGTGGTATTCTCTGTCTGTGTTGGTTAGGGTTTCAGTTGCTGTGAAGAGATACCATGACTACAACAACTCTTTCATGAATGAAAACATTTAATTGGGGAGATTTACAATTTCAGAAGTTTAGTCCATTATCTTTATGGCAGGACATGGCAGTGTGCATGCAGACATGGTGCGGTCAAAGAAGCTAAGGCAACAAGAGCCAACTTTGTGTCATACTGGGTGCAGCTTGAACATATGAGACCTTAAACCGCACCCCCATAGTGACACACTTCCTCTAATGAGGCCATGCCTACTCCAACAAGCCACACCTCCTAATAATACCACTTCCTATAGGGGCCATTTCCTTTCAAACCACCACAGTACTTTTCTCCAAGTGTTTTTCTTTTTATAAGGACCTGGTCATATTGTAGTAGGGGCCTAATCTATTCCAGTATGGCCTTATATTAGCTAATTATGTCCGTATCACACTGTTTCCAAATACAGTCACTTCTGAGGTACCAGGGACATGATTCTAATACTTGAATTTAGACAGATACAAAGTACCCATAACAAGTCATATGTGGTTGTTTTTGTTTGATTGGTTTGTTTGTTTGTTTGTTTGTTTGTTTTAAAGATTAAGATGCAAACTTCACTCTTCTCATTTTGTCTTCAATGGATTTGAAGTATTTTTTTCCTTAGAGTTTGGGATTTCTCCTATCATGAAATATTGCCATATTTTTATAAATGATTACAACTTACCCTTTCTGTGTGTGTATACTATTGGGGGGTTGAAGTTAGGTCTCCTATATGCTAAGCAAACACCTTACAGCTGAATTATAGCCCTACCCCAACTTTCTGATGAACATTTATACAGATTGCACATCTTTGATCTCAAGTGCCATGGACTAGATGTTTTTGACATCTTAGAGTAGTTTTTTCTTTGGTTGGTTGGTTGGTTGGTTTGTTGGTTTTGTTTTGTTTTAGATTGTTGGATATTTACACAGACTTTTAACTTGCTAAGCATCCTTCTTCTGAAAGTACAGAATCCAAAATCAGAAAGTTCATGATCTATTATGTCAGCATTCGAATGTTTCATATTTTAGAGCACTTCAGGCTAACTTAGGGATACTCAGTCTGTTTTGGCAGGAAAAGTAAGTCAGTAATTTGCCCATTTAATTTTTAGTAGAATGCAACTTCCAGCAGATACTTAGTTTAAATTGTCCTCCCAATATCCCACTCTTGTATTTTATTTTTATAAACTTCAAGAACATTTTATCTATTCTCATATTGGGCCAGGTGGCCTGCAAGATAAATTTTAGGTTTAAAAAATTGTCTTTCCAGTTTATGACCCATTTTGTTCATATATAGATATAATTATTATCTTTGATCCCTTACCCAAGTACATCTTGCTACAAATTTCTTTGTGAACTTCGTTTGTATACTTATTACAGCTTTTTGCTCTCAACCAATTGCCTATCATGTGACTCTTAAGCAGGCCTCGTTCTTATGTGCTGTCTCTTCACTGCCAAAGCCTCCGGTAGCTTCCAGAGGCCCAGTGATTAACTAAGATATGCTGAGGTTCGCTAGCCCCCTCTGTGGTCTTAGAGCTGCTTTATGTTTCTCTCATGTACATTTCTTCTGTGTAAAGTCACAATGATGAACTGTAGGACAGTACATTTGGAAGTTTACATAACTATGACAGGCAGATGCACATTTGTCAGAGAGGGCAAAACTAGATGCAGATGTTGCACAGCCTGCAAGTTCTTCCTTAGGCCTCTTGCAAGTTCAGGTCTCTTCATTCTTCCTAAGGGCTGGGCACCACTTCTTTATCAGTCCCTTAGTTACCTGTATGAGAAGAACGTTCTGTTTTTCTATTTTCCCTCTTAGTCTCCTTGTTAACTCTTCTGTTTTCATATTCCTTTCTTTGAAATACAGTGTTATTTTGGGATTTACTTCTTACATCCATTGTACACTTTTCCTGCTCAGATCCCTTTGCATTTAGTGTATAAGTTGATGATTTGTTTTGTTTTGTTTTGTTTGTTTTTCCAGACAGGATTTCTATGTAGCTTTGGAGCCTGTGAAACTTACTTTATAGACCAGGCTGACCTCAAACTCCCAGAGATCCACCTGTCTCTGATTCCTGAGTGCTGGGATTAATGGCGTGTGCCACCCCCAGCAAGGTGATGGATTTTAAGAAAAAGGATATATCCTTTTTTTTTTTTTTTCAAACAAAGCCACTTTAAGAAAAACGTGAAGATGTGAATAACATTGTTTTCTGACTTAAAAGTTTATCCTTGAATTAACTACAAAAATAGAGATTTTTAGCTATTTAAAATTAACTTTGCCAATTTATTATAGCAAGCAGCAATCCAATTAGTGTTGAATCATTTCAGTGCAACATTGACTATCTGTATCTCATGCACTAAGCTAAATGTAAGATCACATTGAAAGTAAGCTATGCTCTCTCTCCCTAGACCCAATTTACGAATTGCTTTCCCTTATCTCTGAAGTTTGGTCTGAACAACGTAACCATATGTCCCATGAGAATACTGAGGCACATCATTCCTTCACTGGCACAGTCCTCTTAGCCACTTCTGGACAGATCCAGGGTCACTTGGTTGCACAGGCCACTGTATATGGAAGGTTTATTCTATTTGAGAGGTTGAGGCAAGAGGATTAATGCAAGTTTCAAGTCAGCTTGGGCACTGCATAAGGCCCTGTCTCAAAAGAGCTTCTTCAGCCCTTACTCAGTTGTCATTTGGCTACTAAAGCCATGAGTGCTTATCATTTCTTGCTTCCAAGGGAGTGAGATAGGAATGAACATCACTTCCAGGGATTTTTCTTATTACAAGATTTATCATATTATGAGATTATGTTTTATGCAATTTTGCATTGTAAAGCTAACAATGTTATTAGTAACTCTGAAAACATTTATTCCCTTAATTAATTTCAATAGTTCTGTTTCTCAGGAAATGATATATAACTACTTACCATTTTTGTTATTACCAGGTAAAGTTTTCCATAGTCACAAAACACTTTCTGTCTAAAGAGAAAAATATTACTCAAATTACAAAAGTATTATCTCAAAAATTACCTATCATTTGGTGCAAATAAGAATTTAAGAGAAGCCATTTACTTCAACCATCACAGACTTGTATTGGTGGTATTAGGCATTGTCACAGAATCATGAATTTTTTGCTGCTTGTAACTTTACTTATTTATGAAAAATATAATTTCTGAAAGCACAGGAGAAAGGAAGATGCTGTGGCACTGCTTAGTGCTCACTGCAGAACACGCCCTCAGTTATCCCAAATGGTTGCTAGAGCTTCACTCTTGCCTGGTGTGATGACCTTGCTCAGAGAACAAATGTGTGGGACAACACATGATTTTTGGCAATCTCCTTCAGTGTGAGGGCCAGTGTACTCCTAACATGGACACACATACCCCAAATTCCCTATTTTTACAATATAGAGTTATTTCTGACTGACAGTCTTCAAAAGCTTGTTCCATTTGGTATAATTTTTTAGTGGCACCCTCTGCTGTGCTGTCCATTTCATTGTGCTTATAATGTTTATAAACAGGTGCTGAGAATTCATCCAGTAGACACTCAGTTCATCTTTTTTGTTTTTGGGAAGCTTTCTGTTTGTTAATTCTTGTATTTACATTTTCCTCCTATGTTAACCATAAGACTAAACATTCTTCTCTTACTCGATTGCTCTGATGTTTGCTACTGTATATATTTCATTTCTTCTGTCTTTAACCTTACCTACCAGTGCATGGGTACAGAGACAAATGTGTCACTCAGTCAAATCCCAAATCGTCAGCTAAGGAAACAGTTCATAATCAAGGTACTGTATTATGTGTCCCAGTGTGTCATTTTTTAAAATCACCTTCATATGAAAGTAAATGCTACAAGTAACTTTTCATGTTTGTCAAGTTATATCCTTAGACTCATTTGTATTATGAAAATCCTGCGATCCCATTTAAAAACCATTTGCCATGATGCCTAATGAAAACTTACTGATTATATAGAAGGACACCTTTGTTTTAAGCAGAAATCACCTTCCCTTTTCTGAGAGAGAGAGAAGATAACAGCATTATTGAAACAATATCCAGTCCTTTAGAAACAGGGCTTGATTTATCACTGGAGAAAGATTCTGAAATAGCCTTTCCAGGTTTACACAAGAAAAGCCAACTTTGGGGAGGTCTTCTACCCCTCACCCCACATCTGCAGGTGCTGTTTTGAAGGTACTGCAGGGTGAGATTTGGGAATTAGTATATGCCTCTGTGGATGCTTGATATTTTTCTAATTTATATGAACTGGATCAGCTTATACAATAAGGCTCATCTGTCTGCTTTGTCTGTAAAGGACATTCTCCTGAAAGATGTCTGCTTCTGACTGTATATTTTAAATACTTCTAAATTAAATGAAATGCATATTAATAAATTATAATTTCTTACTTTTATGGATACTCTATAATAGAACTCTTAGTTGTTTAAACTTAGTTAGGTCATTTATTACCTAACAAATATGTATTCTACACCGAACCTCTAGCTTTAGATGATTTAGGAAGTTTCTAGTTTATCTCATGATGTAGCTTCTTGTTGCATGGAGTAAAGAGGCAGAAGAGCTCTCCTCCTGTGAAGCCTGAGAGCTGCATAGAGACTCCAAGCTCAGACCCCTTCCTTGGCTCCTGCTGCACTCTGCTCCCTGCATCACACTCTGCTTATGCTCTCATATTCACTTTAAATGCCAAATTTATGTAGATGTGAAATGATATGAATGATTTCTTAAATTCTTCTAAATCTCTAAATCTAAGACAAAGTGATTCTAAATTACTACAGCAAATAATGTTTATATTGCAAAAAATAAGTGGCAAATGATCATGATGATCCGTGGCTTACACTGATTACTTAATATTAGCACAAAAACTGCCCCAGAGCATGCATCGTCCTCAGTGGCATTCCCACTTACCTCATTCAATCTTCTTGGCTTTTGTGAAGGTGTATGGGCAAGTCTTCGTTCCAGCAGCCGTTTGATCAGCAGTCCAACATCCTTCATTGATGTTGGTGCCAGGCTGGCAGGCAAGGATCACTCAGCCTCCTTCAGTAACAGCACCTACCTACAAAACCAGCTCTTGAAACGACAAGCCGCCCTTTATATATTTGGTGAAAAGTCACAGCTAAGGGTAAGCTTTTTTTTCTCTCACTTAGAAGACATGGCAACCCAAAGGCAGCTTGTAGACCCAATCACTAACTTTACCATAAAATCTTTATAGCGTGATTCTTATTCTAGATGTAATAATCTCAAAAAAAAAAGCTTAGTTCTAAACCAGGCATGGTGATGCTGCCATGCCTGTAATCTCAGTACTCAGGAGGTAGACAAAGGAGGATCAAGAGTTCAAGGCCAGCCTCTGCTTTATGAAAATCTTGTCTCAAGAAAGCACAGGCAAGACTAGAAAGATAACTCAGCCAGTAAAGCTCTGCTACACAAACATGAGGACTCTAGTTCCATTCCCAGTACTCACATTAAATGGTTGTGCATTCCTATAGTCTTAGCACGGGTGGGGGGGGTGGGAGGGGGTAAAAGAGGAAACCCCTGGAGTTCAACAGCTGGCCAGCAAGGCTCCAGTCCCAATGAAAGACCTTGTTTCAAGAAAACAAGGTAGATGGTAGATGGGGTACAGCCATAACTCAGCAGTTAAGAGAGTTTGACATACAAAGCAAGTACCCTGAAACCCACTTAATGCTAGATGAACAAGCCAACCTGCCTGTAATTTCAGCCTTCAAGGCAGAAGCAGGATTCCGAAAACAAACTGACTAGGAAGACAGCTCCCATAATGGGAGCTCTGGTTTGATTGAGGAACTCTGCCTCAATGAATAAGGTGGGAGAACAATTGAGCATGAATTCTGAAACCACTCTGAGCCTCCTTGTGTACATATGCGCTTATACGCACATGAAAAATGGAAAGAGAAAGAAAAAAAGGTAGTTTCTGAGGAAGTACACTCAAGCTTGACCTTTGACCTCCATAAAAACCTACACGTGCATATTTTGTTCACCCTGCATATACACATATGTCCATACACAAGAGCATGTGCACCAAAAAAAGTTTTTTAAATTAGCTGTTTATATTTATTAATACATATACATATATGTGTCTTTATATATATATATTTATGTGTGGGTGAATGCGTGTGCATTTTATTAGCCATAAGGATGAATATTCATAGTCTTTTTTTAAAACAAAGGCTATCGGGAAGTATAAATACAAAGGAGAAATAAGGCTTATTTAAACTATATTTCTCACTGTCTTCATTCAGTTTCCATAGGCATCTATACTTTGTAAGACAAACAGCCTTTATCTCTGAACCATTGATACAGAGGCTACAGAAAGTCAGAGGATGCTGGACTGTGGCACTGAAATTTGGAGGCAAGGGAAGACCTGTATACATAGAGATATGTATTCTATGAGCAGATAATTCAAAATATCAGCTGCTAATCAGCTTTAGCCTATTACTGTGCTAAAGAGCTTTACTGTGTAAGGTCTCATTAATTGTAAAAATATTATCTGCCTCCAGAAAATCAACAGTAGTTTCTTAAATTCAGTGTTTTCCAGGTCATGAATTAAAAAATACATGTTGAGCCAACCCAGTGGGTAAAGGAACTTCTTGCTACAAAGTCTGATGACCTAAATTCAATCCCTGAAACCCACTAACAATTCTAATCTCCAAACAGGTGTTATGGCATGTGCCCAGGCTACCCTACCCTACCCTACCCTACCCTACCCTACCCTACCCTACACACACACCCCAAATGAATGTTTATGGGGTATTTGGTTTGGTTTGGTTGTTTGGTTTTCCAAGACAGGGTCTTTCTGTGTTGCAGCCCTGGCTGTCCTAGAACTTGCTTTATAAACCAGACTGGCCTCAAACTCAGAGATCTGCCTGTCTCAGCAACCCCCCAAGTGCTAGGATTAAAGGCATGCACCACCACTACCTGGCAAATAGATGTGATATTTCTGTCAAGGAATACAGAGGAAGTGGAAGCATCTGTTAATTCAGAAATCTCAAAGTTTCGCACTGAGTAATTCAAACAGACCTTTGGCTGAACCATAGAGCAGAGGCTGTGTGCAAGTTACTCTCAGCAGGAACCCACATGCTTAGCCTTTGCAATGCCAATGACTGAATCATCTCTGCTGTAACAGGCTGGCATGGCTAATTCTTTCACCACTAGCTAGACAGCTGCAACCAGTTAGTCACAGCCTAAAGGGTAAAGGCCATGAAAACTTCAGGTAATACTCAGTTTTAAAATTTGCACATGTCTTCTGATACAGCAGTTAATTGTGTATCTAAAAAAGTAGAACTCTTTTCAGCAGCAAAGATTGCCTGCACAGCATTGGTGGCACCAGTGACTTTTCCAGAACAGACCTTCTACTTTTTGGCACTCTTGATATAATCTGAATTTCCTCCCAAGGTTTGACTACCTGAATACTCACCTCTGCTATTCCCTTTCTGTATGAGGTCTCAGAGTAACTGTATGATCATGTATAATTAATTAGTAAGAAACACAGACCACTCAGGATCTTTCCTTCCCTCCTTCCCTTCCTCTTTTTTCTTGCTTCTGTCTGTCATTTATCAGTAAGTTTTATATGTGCTATATTCTAGTTATCATTTATGATTTTCAGTTGTAACTACATACTTCATATCCCAACAAAGGAAGCATAAAGGAATCGAATCCAGGTCTTTATGCTTACAAAACAAGCATTTTACCAATTGAATCATTCCTGAAGTCCTCTTTAAAAAAAAAAAAAAAAAAATTGTTTTTTGAGACAGGGTCTCTATTATGTAACCCTGGAAGTCCTGAAACTACTCTGTAGAATTCACAGAGATCCACCTGCCTCTGCCTCCCCAGTGCTTGGATTAAAGATATGCACCACCACACCTGGCCCCTCTTTTAAAACTTTAATTGGACTTTAACAACAACTAAAATAATCAAAATTAAACATCAAATGGACTAAATGTGTGTGTCTCTCCTTTGAAGCAGATTTTAAACATTTTTAACAATTTGTTTTTATTTTATGCACATTAGTGTTTTGACTGAATTTTTGTGTGAGGGTGTCCGTCCCCTAGAACTGAAGTTAGAGACAGTTGTGAGGCTTCATGTGGTGCTGGGAATTGAACCTGTATCCTCTGGAAGAGCAGTCGGTGCTCTTAACCAGTGAGCCATTTTTTATTTTTTTAAATTGTAGTCAAAATAATATTTACCTCCTAACCATTTTTAAATTCATAGTATTAGGTATATTCACATTGTTATACAACTGATCTCCAGAATACAGTTTTACACTTTGAAAACACACACACAGAGAGAGAGAGAGAGAGAGAGAGAGAGAGAGATTATCTAGTAGATATCAAAGAAAGTGAGGAGCTAAGAGAATGATTCGTTCTTTGGCATGAGAAGTTAGAGGTCTTTTTAAGTCTTTAGAACTAGACAATCAGGTTGTCAAACTGAAATTGCATCCCTAAGCCTGTGCAATTCTTTAATTATAAATATAAAGCTCAGTTGGCAGAGTGCTTGTGGTGTATGCACAAAACCCTGGGTTTGATCCCCAGCTCCACCAGGAATGATAGCACACACCTGTAATCCCAACACTTGGGAGAGAGAGGCAGGAGGACTAGAATTTCAAGGTCATCCTCAGCTAATAAATTTTGAGGCCAGCCTGGAATGCATGAGATCCCATCTTTAAATACATGAGAGAGACGGACCAAGAGACCCTTTGGATGTATGTGTACAAGCAAAGCTCAAAAGCTCATACCTCACAGAATAAATTACATGTGAAATATAGACATAAATGAAAGGATACTCAAACATAAGTAATGTATGTTTCATGAAAAAAATGACTCACATTTTATTGTAGATAAAATCTTAATGACTTAAAATGTAATCGTATTGCAATGAGATCATGTTTATCTTTTGATACTTTTATAATGAATTTATTTCATTTACATAATACCTTATTATGTAAATATGTTTATAGCTATAGAATTTTATTGGTTCAGTTCTGGAATCCCAACAATATATTTTAACCTTCAATTAACAATGTACATCTTGGGAAATGAAGTTTGTGTTGTTAGATTAACCATGTTGTTCATTTGTCACTGGTTCTTTGTTTCTTCCTGAGACAGGGTTTCTCTCTGAAGCTCTGGCTAAAATGAAACTCTGTAGATCAGGCTGGCCTTGAGCTCAAGAGATCTGCCCACCTCTGCCTCCCAAGTGCTGAGACTAAATGTGTGCACAACCATGCCTAGCCATTCTTTTAAGTTATCAACTGTTGGTTCATGGCCTTAGAATTGCCCTTTATTTGGTGTTAAGATACTCCATTAACTTCAGCTTGCCAGTCTCTTAAGTTCTCAGAATGACAGCATTCCTGAGCTAAGTAATCTACCCCTAAAAGGACTAGACTGACCATTATGGGCAGCCACTAAAGCCAGCTGCACTGGTGACATGAGAACCACACAAGACTAGCCCTCTTGATCACTGCAGCTTTTGCAGCTACTTGGCATCAATTTGGTGTTTATTATTAGGGATTGTCCTGGGGGAAACTTTGTTCTTTTATCAGCCTAATTCTCTGTATCTTCATATTCAGAGCTTCAAGGTAGAATTTGCTTTAAACTGTGAGTTTGTTCCTGTTGAATTCCATGAAATCCGACAAGTGAAAGCCAGTTTTAAGAAGCTAATGAGGGCTTGTATCCCAAGCACCATCCCTACAGACTCGGAAGTGACGTTCCTGAAGGCCCTGGGAGATTCTGAGTGGTTCCCACAGGTAACATCAGGGAAAAGTTATCCTGTACTCACAGAACACCCCAAGTGGATACACAAGCAGCGTCTGAAAAGCCTGTATTTTCTCCCCTCTACTTCCCATTTTCTTCCTTTGTCATATGCTCTCTATAAAGGCCTCTCAGTTCCAAGAAACAGTAAGGCCTAAGTGTGAGGAAGGCAGACTCTTCATCACCTAGGTTTTTTTCTCTGTGAATTGAAAGTGTGGCATATTGTACAGAAATGTTTTTGATGGACAAAAAACTTCAAGTCACGTGTTTGTATAGCTCTCCTGTGCTATTGTCAAGTCAGCAAGGATCCAGGACAAAAGGTGATTTCTGCATGACTCCACATGCCTTTCCCTCTGACTTTCTTACCTCCCATTTACTTCTACCATTTTTATGTCTCTAGATTTTAGATTCACCCACATACCAGCCATCAGATACTAGATAGTTCAAACCTACCTAAGGTCTGGGAAAACTAGATATCCATCATCATTCAGCCAAATCACCCTAAAGATATTTCTAATTGAACTTTTATTGAGAAATTAAGGGAAACATAGTTTGCCAGCACACATATGCCTACATTTCTTCCAAACCACAGAAAGAAAGGTATTTATGACTTGGACATTATAGGCAACAATTCCAGTTTGGCATAGAGCAGCAATTCTGCAATGTAACCTTCTGCTGTGTCTATGTTCATGTTCCTTCCTAACTGCAGGAAGCTCTAATTCCTCTGATTTCTAGTTTCACAGTTTTTCTCCAAGCACTCTGTCTACCTGTTCCTCCCGTGCTGGAGAACAAACCCAGGCCTCCAGGTATGCCAGTGGATACATACTAGCATGAGTTACAGCCTCCTCCCCCAACTCCATGTCTAACCCTGCTCTGTCAATGAGAGAGTTATTTCTCATAGTCACTGAAGTAAATGGTAAAGACACCTAGAAATGCTGTCGGTACCCAGATCACGTATCAAGGCATGTAAACTTTAGAAAAAACAGAGCCACATGTGCAGTGATTGTAAACATGTCTCAGGATATGTTCACTGCCCTAAGACAGTTTAGAATACTCTTGAGTACCCATGGAAGAAGTTCACTGGCACTTTGCTCTACCCCCAAGTTATGAAGCCCATCCCCAAAATTTTCTCACCACCAACTCCCATCTGCATTTCTGATAGATTCTATGTACTGTTCCTTGCTAGAAAGGGAACCTAGATAAGAAATTAAATGCCGAAGATAATTAGTACTGTTGTTCTACTGTGTTAGCCGCATTTGCCCCCCCCAAGAACATTCAGGCTGATAACTGTTATAAGAAAGAAATGAGGGGCTCTCCCCGTACCTTGTTCCTGTGCTTATTAACATAGCCCAAGTCTGCTTGAAATGTGGGTTTTACTTCAAAGATGGATTTATACTGCATATGTCAAATCATGCTCAGAGTATTTTTTATATTCACACACTATTACTGTCATTGTCCCCCTCCTAATGATTCCCTTTATGACCCCCCTGCTGATTCCTACCTTCTTCCTATTTTCATGGTTTTGTTTTTGCCTTTGGTTATAGAATGCATTTTGTTAGGGTTGCATGCTGAGCCCCTATTTGCAGGGTCATGGAGACCTTACCAGTGGCTATTCCATTAGAGAAAATGCCTCTTCCTCTCCTGGTACCCATTAATCACATATACCTCTCTAGTGAGGTGTGGGAGCCTCAGGATACCTTCCTTCCTCTGTGATAGGATGTTGGGAGGCCTAGTCTTGGGCAGGTCTTATGTAGGTAATCACAGCTACTATGAGTTCACAAGTGCAATAGCCATGTCCTATCCAAAGGAGAGGACTCCATCCCTTCCTCCCAAGATTTTACATTCTTTCTGTCCCAACTTATATGATATTCCAAGTGTCTTGGAGGATGTGATATAGATGTTCCATTTGGGACTGAACAGACTTTTACCAATTAAATCTCTCTACCCTGTCAACTGCAAACAGAAGCTTCCTGATCAAAACTAATGACAGCACTATTCTGTGAGCATGAACATAATTTAGAAGGTAGTTTGACAGATACATCAGGTTTACTTAGAAAACAGTAGTAGAAGCCTTTCCACAAGGACCTATGACCTCCCTAGCCATGGCTTTTGCCCCAGTTTATAATAACCAGACATGAATTTTCTGTGGAGCAGACCTCAAATCCAGTCAGGTACAATTGGTAACCCTCATAACAGACTTGCCACTGTTGTTCTAAGGGGCATATCTTAACTGTCCAGTTGGTAGGGCTATACACAGGAACCACAGCTGAATAAAGCTATCAAGGACAATTCTGCAGCCTGCATAGTACCTTCAAGCAGTATGAAGACCAGATAGGTCCATCTTGACTTCTCAATATTCTATAACCAGAGAGTTAGAGTATCTTCAGCAGCAGGATCTGACACATTATTTTCAAACATATCTACCTGAGCTAAAGAAATGGCCAGGCAGTTGAAAACATGTCCTGTTCTTGCAGAGGACCCAAGTTCCTAACACCCTCTTTGTGTGACTTACAACTGCCCATGGGTCCAGCTCTAGGAGTTCTAATACCTTTGTTCCCCATGGGCACTTTCATGCATCACACACACACACACAAATGTAGTTACAAATAGTAAAAATAATCTTTTACAAAAATAAGAAGTTGGAAAGATGGCTCAACACTTAAGCACAGTCACTACTCTTACAGAGGACCCAGATTTGGTTTCCAGTGTCCACATGGTGGCTTACAACTGCCTATAACTCTTGTTCCAGAGGCTCCAATACCTTCTGGCATTCATGAGCTCTGCACACATGTGGTGTACATACATACTACTCAAGCACATACACACCACACTCAAAAATTTAAGTAAATGTACTAATATTTAATTTGATTTGGCAAGAACTTTTAAGAATTTGAACAGTCTGATTCTTTTTTCCCAAGTGCTTCATCTCATCTTGTTTGATTCTCCAAGACTGATAGGAAGTCTGCCTTCTACTTCTGATTAGCAAGTGATGCATTATAAATAATGGAGATTTCTAATGCCATCAGAAGCAAACTGGCCATTAAAATATGTATGTATGTGTGTATGTACCATTCAGGAAGTAGGAATGTTTGGGTAACATAAAAGGCATTAGTCATACAAAGAAGCTTAATTTAATTTATGGTCATAGCTCATAATTCAGAGTAAACAAAATAATTAAGAAGCAACAGTATGGGGCTAGAGAGAGAATTCAGTGGCTAAGAGCACTGGCTGTTCTTTCAAAGGACCTGAATTCAAATCTCAGCACCCACATGGCAGTTCACAACCACCAGTTCCCTCTTCTAATCTCTATGAACACCAGGCACTCTAATGGTACACAGACATGAATACAGAAAAAAATACCCATATAGATAAAATTAAATGATAAAAACTGATGTGACCAGTAGCTTCACTGGTCACAGCTCCTGCTTAGGGCTGACTGAAACGTGAAAAATAGGACTCTGACCCTGGCCTTATAACTTCAATTATTTGCATCTACCAGTTATTTGAAAAGTAGTTACGGGAATCATCAGTCCTTCAGTGTCTATGAAATAGATTTATCGATACTAGGAAATAGGAAACATAATTCCATATTGGTCTTATATTTTACCTCTCCTGTAAAATGTAATTCAGAAACTGCTGTTTTATCTTGTTCTATTTGGAAGATTGTGAAGTACTTTACACTGTAAATCTAAAATTACTTTGAGGAAGCCAGTGGATAGGGGGATTTGTGCATGGGTCTGATGACCTGAATTTAACCCCTGATCCTACAAGTTAGCGAGAACTGAGTCCCAGGAAGTGTACTCTCACTTCCACGGACACTCCACAGAACACATATGCCTGCACTTACACACATATACACATAAAAATAAGTAAGTGAATGGAATATTCTTATTTTCATTCTATATTATGTAAATTGTAGTAAATGTAAAAAGTAAAATTCCAAACCAAAAAAGTGCTTGCTCTAACTGTAGCCCTCTTTTCTCTCTTAGCTTCACAGGATAATGCAGCTGGCTTTGGTTGTATCAGAAGTGCTGGAGAATGGGTCTTCAGTTTTGGTGTGTTTAGAAGAAGGCTGGGACATCACTACACAAGTAAACGTTTACACATATTTTCCAATATTTTTTATTTGTATTTCAATGTAGAGTTTACCTTTTGGATTATTTTATATAATTACTAATGTGTTTATGGACAGAAAAAGTCCCCTGCTAACCAGCCCCTGGCAAGCCATCAGGTAGCCTGCATAGCTTTGGGTCAAGCATCAGGAATCCCCATCCTTAAGTACACATACAAGCTTGCAGCTAGCGCACTTGGCCAACAGGATGAGACATGGACCGCTCTTCCTACTACCTTTCCACCTTTCTTTCTCTAGCTCTCTCTCTCTAAGCCTATGTTTACTCCAGAAGGAAAAAGAAAATTTGTGTGAACATCAGCAACATTAAGACATTAACCTGTTCCTGCCTATTATCATACTGAACAAACTAGTCAATTAAGGATTAAAATCTTAATTCTCTGAAAGAATGCGTGTAGCCAGAGTAAATTTGGGTTTTTGTTTTTACTGGAAAGTTTTTAAAATTCATTTGATTTTTCCATCCTGAAGCAGCTAGTCAACAGATTTGTTGTTCAGGTAACTTTGTGAATCAGCTATCATCCAGAGGAAGTTCAACAGGACTTTTGTAGATCTAAAATTAATGAAATGTCCATCCTTCTCTTGACCTAGGTGACATCCCTGGTGCAGTTACTCAGTGATCCCTTCTATAGGACAATTGAAGGCTTCCGGATGTTGGTCGAAAAGGAATGGCTCTCTTTTGGTCATAAGTTCAGTCAGCGCAGCGGCCTGGCCCTTAACTCTCAGGGCAGTGGTTTTGCTCCCATCTTCTTGCAGTTCTTAGACTGTGTGCACCAGGTAAGTAAAGCAAGTGTAGAGTGGCTTGACCTGAAGAACACACTGAGCTGTGCTGCCACAGCTCAGTCATAGGACATGCTGGGAATGGAGAAGAAAATTTCAGTTTCTGAAATTAGAGATGTTGACCTGGCTCAAGCTAAGGGAGTTAGCATGGTAAATTACCATTTCCAAAGAAGAGAAGCAAAGTTGGGAAGTTCCCCAAAGTGTGGACTAAACAGCAAAAGTATGGCATGCCCTGAAATGCCACATATGATCTTCCCAGTTTGGATGGGCTCTGACACATGCATGGGCACAAGAGTTAGATCCTCATCCCTTGAGTAATAAATAGGTCCCTGCCAGGCAGGCTGACGGGATTGAGAACCGTGCTTAGTTCAATGAAGTAACCAAACAGCAGCTGATAAGAGGACTTACTGTGTAACCCAGTTAAATGCAGCCAGGGGTTGAGGGGATAGTTCCCAGCTCTATCTTCCTAGGCATGGAGTTAAGACTCACCTTGCTGGATCCTTGCTCAGGACTGGGTTGAAGAACAGGGTGGCACTATGCTTTCATCCTGAAGGAAAAATTGGCCTAGGAAAAGCAGCACTGATACTGCAGCCTTGTATCAGACAAGTAGGTGTTCCCATGTCAAAAATGGCAGTGAGCCTCTGCAATAACTACTGGGAAGGAAAGCAGGTCTTCTGCATAGCCCAAATTGGCATACGACTGTATTTTGTTTTGTTTGTTTGTATTATGTTAATCATTTTCTTTAAAAAGAAAGAAAGAAAGAGAAAGAAAGCTCTATTGAATTCTCACTTACATACCATACAGTTTACCCATTTTAAATGTGAAGTCCCACTTTTAGGGCATTCACAGAGTTGCAAAACTATCACCACAGTTTTAAGACTGTTTTCCCACCCAGCAGACACTCTGTAGCCACTAGCAGTGATTTTTCTATCCTCCTTCCTGGCACACAATAGGGCTGTGTCTGATTTCTGCCAAGAAGGATGTGAAGCACTGGTAACAGGGAGCTTACACTTTGAAACTCCTTGCAAGAAATAGCATTATGTGTTCTCTGTTTGCCTTTTTATTTGCCTTTTGTTTGCCTTTTGGCAAATAGATAAGGGAGATGTTTAGGGAGAGTTGTACTTACCTGAGGCTAGGGGAGAAAAACGAGTTTCTTAGCTCTCATCTAGGTAAGAGTGAGGATTGGGATCTGCTTTCCTAATTTCAATGGTGAGGACTCTTGTGTATGACGACTAAAACTAACCAAACTGATGCTTACACTGGAGAATTTAAAGGAAACTATATAATGTTTACTTAAATAGGAAAAAGTTATGCTAATTGTAACATCTCAGCACATTAACATTCAGAAAAAGGAAATAGCAGCAGTCTTCCAGCAAAGGCCTATAAAGCTGTGACTAGACAGGCTGGGGAGCTTGGCTGTCACTAGCATTAGGGCAGAAAATGACCCAAGACAGGAGATAAACTGTTACTTTCCCATGCTATTTTCAGTCAAGTCTCTTCACTAACCAAATTGTGTCTAGAATTCTCAAGTTTTGGATTTGTCTAGTATGTTTTTTCCAGAAACTAACCATCTAATCTCTTATTCTGAATAGGATTATCACAACAACATAAGGCAGGAAAGGACTCTAGAGTCTAGCCACGTTAGCCCCATTTCACCTTATGTACTGTTTGGGGGTTTCTCTGTATCCTCAGCAATTTATGAGAGTCTGAAATCAGTTTCTTTCCGAAGGCTTCCCATGTAGCTTCCCTCTGCCAGCCACTCCCACTCTCCCTCCAGTCTCTTCCTTTTCAGTATTCTGCTGAATTGGTTTTGGCCTATTACTGTGTTGTCTTTCTCTTCCCATTCCTTCTTGGGTTTTTTGTTTTGGAGGGTTTTTGTTGTTGTTGTTGTTGTTGTTTTGGGTTTTGTTGTTGTTGTTGTTGTTTTTGTTTTTCCCTACCTTTAAAAATGCTTTAGCAGCCAGGCATAGTGATACGCCATCTGTAATGTCTGCACTCAGAAGCAAAGGCAGGAGGATACCCACAAATTATTCCAGGCCAGCCTGGATTACATAGCACGTTCCAGGCCAGCCATGGCTACATAGTGAAACTGTAACTTTAAGGGGGAAAAAAATTTCTTTCTTTTCCTTTAATGGGGGAATATTTCAGAGGAATGAGGTTTTTTTGTTTTGTTTTTGTTTTTGTAGCTAAATTTAGCTTAAAGTTAAATACACTGCTAAATGTGCTAAATCTCTGTGTTCATCTTATCAAATTCTGTATAGCTAAACAGTGTCAGTACTAACATCATTCATAATCAATGACTACATAAAACACACTGTCCCCACAGATGGGAACATCACTAAATCCCAAATGCAATAGTCCTTGTTTAGAATGCAGTTCTGTTTTATTGTTGGGGGTAAGACCTGAGAGTGCAGCCTGTAGAAGATAGCCTGTAATCTTTGAATTTCTTAAGCAAAATTAATCAGTTTAACATAAACTACAATGAGATATAAATTATATGCCTGCTGGCTTTAGGAAAAATTACAATAAATGCTAAATTTTCAAAATATGCTTACTAAAGCAACCTGGCATAAAAGTTAAACTTCTCTTATCTGTTTTCTAAATAGGTAAGAATTAAAAGTTGTGAATGGCCCCAAATGAAAAACAGTCGATTTTTTTTGGGGGGCGAGGGGTATGGGGAAGTAGGTAGTTTCAAGACAAGGTTTCTCTTGTAGCTTTGGAGTCTATCCTGGAACTCTCTCTCTCTCTATGTAGATCAGGCTGGGCTCAAACTCACAGAGATCCACCTGCCTCTGCCTCCCAAGTACTAGGATTAAAGAAAGGTATGCACCACATTGCCCAGCTGAAAAATAGCTAACTTTAATGAAAATTCAGTCATTTGCAAATAAAGGCTTTATAACCAATAAACTATAACATTCAGGATCTAAAGACTAGAATACTCTATCAGTCCGTGTCATGTTAAAATTTTTCAACTGAAATATTTTTTTAATTTGTCTGAACCTGCTACCTCTTACATCATCAGCTGAATGTAGACAAGCCATGACAAAAGGTACATGTGACCTTAAGGGCTTGACCATGATAGGTTTCAACTTGGTTGAAGCAAATTATTTTATCTCAAAGAGAGATGGTTTATCATTTCAAAACTTAGGAATCTAAGGAGTTAACAAATGGTACTTCTGACTTTTGCTGACTTAATTATAAGGTAGGTAGTGTTTCATCATCTCCTACACACTGGTTTGAGGCATTAGAAAATGCCTTCTTTGAATGACTTTCAAGTGAATACTAGTGTTTTACATGCCCCTTACTTTTACCAAATAATTTTAATTAGTGCTATCTTCAGACTTTTTGGGACACAGAGACAGACCCAGTAACAATACAAAAATAAGTTCAAAATTTCACAGCCGCAAGCAAAACCTTCCCTGGGTAGAATGTGTTCCCTGTTTGTTTAACCATTTATAACACACTGAATGCAAAAGGAAGTTAGTTTATGGACATATGCCCAGATGTGTCTATTAGTACTAAGAAAGTTGCAAAGAAAACAGATGAAGCACCATTCTTAAATTAGAAATTCCTCATCATATAAAAACCCATTGTTTATGCCAGTTTATCCAGGTGTCAGATGAAGAGTAAATGCTAGATCACTGTTTCATAATAGCAACATCTGCAGATACATTTTTTTTTTTTACTTCTAAAAGTAATTGGCCTAATTGAAGTGGTATCATGACAGGATGCTTCCTTTCCTTGAAATAACTGAGCCAAATCTTTCAAAAGGAAAATAATATACAAAACATAAAAATGAAATTTTTACCTAAAATTTATTTTTTATTTTTGTTTTGTTTTTGTTTTTCAAATCAGTGTTTCTCTGTGTAGCCCTAGCTGTCCCAAAACTAGCTCTGTAAACCAGGCTGGCCTTCAGCTCATAGAGATCCACCTGCCTCTGCCTCCCAAGTGCTGGGATTAAAAGTGTGTGCCACCACCACCCAGCCTATTATTTTTAAAACACAATACCAGGACCAGCAAAATGGCTCATAGGGTAAAGTTGCTTCACACCAATCTGAGAACCTGGGTTTAGTCCCAAGAATTCATATGGTAAGGTAGCACCCACTCCTATTGTCCTCTGATCTCCACACACAAACACTGGCACATTTGCACCTGTATTATGGGGAGCCCACCAGAAATGATCACTCAGACAACAGTTTGTAGCCAATTGGAAGTCCTTATTCCAGCTAGTTGGGACTACACTCGGGTATTCAGGACCCAGGTGTAGCCCTGAGCATTTAGAGCAAGGTGTTTTTATAAGGCAAAAAAACATATCCTGGTATCTCACTCAACAGCTACAGGGGGGTGTTTTGTGTAAAAGCAAGCAGTTTAACAGAAGCTAAAATAAGCAGTTAGCTGGAAGTTTAACAGAAGCTAGGGTAAGTTAGCTGGGGCATCTTGGCCTGTCAGATTCCTAGAATAAAGCTGGGTAATTTTCCATGGGCATCTTCATCAAGGAGATCAAATTCTAATTAAGCCTAAAATGGCCTTAGCAAGAATACAAGACAGAGAAAACTTTGCACTGTCCTGCCCTCTCACACCTGTTCAAACATACACACTAAATAAGTTTTTAAATAATAATTTTTAATCTTTTAAAACATAATACCAAAGAGGAAATATGTGTAATGTGGATGAAAATGTGAAGTGCAAGAATGACCCTTTTAATTTCATCATTGAGTACTCCTTGAACAGGTTCTAGAACCTTCATATGTTCCCTAGAGAACCTAACAGTGCTGACTGTGCCTTCAAAGCTTATTTACATTATTAATTGGCTCACTCTAGCCTGATGTGCTGCTGATGGTTCTTCTCAGAGTTAACATGTTCCAACAGTGCCCTTTTAAGATAGGTTACTTCCTTGTGACCAGCTGCCCCCGATGGCTGCATGGTAGATTCTAGAATGTTGTCTGCTTCCTATTCAACTGAAAACTGGCAAACTTCCCATAAATCAAATGGTTTAA